CAAAAGGGGCTTATTTAAATAAATATAGTATAGCCATATAATGAAATATTATGGGTATGTTGAAAGAAATAGAGTATGCTGTCATGGAAAAATGTTGATGGTATGTTAGTAAGAGTTAGTTAAATTGCAAAGCACAAAAAATAGTTTTAAAAGCAATTTCTACCAGGAGAGTATGTCAACATTTCTGGTTTTACATAAAATATATTTTATTTTTATTTATTTATTTTTGAGACAGAGTCTTGCTCTGTTGCCCAGGCGGGAGTGCCATGGTGCGATCTCGGCTCACTGCAACCTCTGCCTCCCAGGCTCAAGGATTCTCCTGCCTCACCTCTTGAGTAGCTGGAATAACAGGTGCCTGCCAATACACCCTGCTAATTTTTGTATTTTTAGTAGAGACAGGGATTCACCATGTGGGTCGGGCTGGTCTGGAACTCCTGACCTTAAGTAATCTGCCCAACTCACCCTCCCAAAGTGCTGGGATTACAGGTGTGAGCCACTGTGCCCAGCCAAGTAAAATATATTTTAAAACCTACTTTCTATCTAGCTTAAGCCCTCACATGTAAAACACTGAGAGTGGCTTATTTTATCCACTGATATCATATTTGATTCCTAAGTGATTTAATAATTTTTCATATGTGAATTCTAACGCTAGTGAATTGCTTTTTGCATTGTGCCTTTCAAAGTTTTAAACATATTTTGCTGAACATCGTTATTGTAATCACCTGGGAATGCCAGCTCATTGTTCAGGGAACCTAGTTTCCAGGTAGAATTGCAATTTAGTCCAATTGAATATGGCAGTTTTTACAAAACTGCTAGGAGTAGGAACAGAGAAAGAGAATGATGTAAATATGCACTGCGCAGAAGAGTCCATTGCTCTTTCAGTCTGTAATTTCCCATTCTCACCTGTGGGCACATTTTAAGACAGCTGTGAGTTCATGGCGATACATTTTGTTGTGAAAAATGAAAGCTGCAGTATTGAATAAAATTAGAAATAATGCAAAAGACAGATTGTTAATTTTTTTAATGCCATGGCTGATGCAAATGTTCAGTTTTGATGTCTATTTTGAGGACCTGAAACAAGGCTTTTAATCAATGTATTATACATCAAATTTATGCTGTTAACTTCTGATTATTCAAATTAATAAAATATTCATAGAGAAATGTCCAAAGTTTTACATTTCTCAGACTTCTGTCCCCCCACCCTCGCCATTAATTATCATGCCTAGAAGCTTTTTAGTAAAAGCAGCAGTTGTCAGGCTGACGGAATCTGACAGGCCAGCAAGGCCCAATTACACTTGCGCTATGTGGCACTTTGATGTCCGGGAAACGAAGAGAGATAGGGGCAAATTGTGTGGCACATTATGTTAATGACTTGATTTAATCCAGCCACTAAACTTTGTGTAGCCTGTTAAAAAAGATGCTAACACTAATTACGCCACTTTGGAAAGGAAAGGAGGGGACAAGCATTTCATACTGACAAAGTGAAGCTCATAAATGTTGTAAATGAAATGAAACAAAATGAAGTAATCTATGATTAATTATACATCACAGACATGAAGAAAACAGAAATAACCACGTAATATGTAGAAGTACTGGGAAATCTGTTAGATTCCTTCTAAGGATCAACGTTTCTAGGAAATAACTATGAACTGTCAGATTCTGTAACATGAAGAACAGAAACTGAATGATCTTAAATTGCTTACACAGTGTATCAGATAATTTGAATTCACACTGTAACTGGCATAAATGATACTTATCTAGGACACTACTTCTAGAGCTAATTTTGTGACATTATAAAATAGAGGCAATTTTTTAAAAAGTGGGGATAACTATAGAGTAGGGTTATCTAATTCCTTTTTAACTAGTTTGTGCGTCTAATCTATTTTTTACATTATTGACAGCATGATCTTTCAAAATGTGATCTAAGCATGTAAACTCCTTAAGATCAGGAGCTTAATTTTTTGTATTCGTGGATCTATTCCCAGTCCCTAGAACAAGGCTAGGAACACAACAAATGTTCACTACATATATATCTGTTTAATGAATGAGTGATCTTCTATCCTCATTCCTTAAAAATCTCAGAGGCCTCAATGCTCTGGATTATGCCTACCTTTTCAGCCTATTCTCCTGGGCTCCCTAAGCATACCATAATGGCTTGGCCCACCCGGAAACCATTCTGAATTCCAGAACAAGCCATGCACTATGTTCTCTAAGATTCTCACGCTTTTCATTCCTTTGGCCTATGATTTTCTCACCCTTTTCATGAACTCCTAATCATCTTCAACACTGGCTCCAGCTTTACTGACTCTAGGAAGTCATCCTTGATGAAGGGAAGGCCCCTCAGGTTGTCTTAGGGACCCCTTCTGAATGCTCCCATAGCACCCCATGCATTCCATTCTCCTGGTGCAGACCACTATACATTTTAATTGTGTTTCCCCTACAGACTACGAATTCTTCGAGGGAAGGAACTGCTTCTTGTATGCCTGCCTGACACACAATGGATGCTAATAAATGAATAATTGTTGTGAGGAAATATTAGCATAGGATGTACTTAGCACATAACAGGCATTCAGTAATACATTCCTTCCTATGAAAGCTATGTTTCACTGTTCTGAGATTTTTACCAGAAGCAGTTCTTAAAGAGAAGACAAAAGAAAAAACTAATGAACCACAAGTACTTTTAAGCTTACAAAAGGATTTATGAAACAATACTACAACCAAAGTTAACACCATCAATAATTAGGCAAAATGACATTTTCTGCCTCCTGATATGACGCAATGAAGAGGACATAGTATCGCTTCTGTATTCCTACCAAAATGCATAACTGGAATCTGATCTTGAGGAAACATCAGACAAATCCAGTGAAGAATATGTTACAATGTAAATGGCCTGTATTAAGGAGTGTCACTGTTATAAAAGACTACAAGAAAGCCTGAAGAACCATTACAGATTAATGGAGGCTAAAGAGGCCTGAAAACGAAATGCAATGTGTGATCTGGATTGGATCTTGGACCATATGAATAAGATGCTATAAATGATATTACTAGGACAACTGACAAAATTCTAATGAAAACTGTAGATTAGATAACAATATTATACAACTCTTCTGAAGTGTTTAGAATTAGGGAGCAAATTCCACATGAATAGATTAATGCCCTCACTCTGTTAGTTCCCTTGACAGCTGATTGTTAAAAAGAACCTGGCAACTCTTACCTCTCTCTTTCCTGCTTCCTCTCTTGCCATGTTATCTACATATGCTCTGGCTGCCCTTATCCTTATGCCCTGAGTGGAAACAGCTTGAGGCCCTCACCAAATGCAGATGCCAGTGCCATGCTTCTTGAACAGCCTGCAGAACTGTGAGCCAAATAAACTACTTTTCTTTGTAAATTACCCAGCCTCAGGTATACCTTTATAATAACACAAAACAAACTAAGAAAACATAGGATGCTGGTCAGTGACTGCTGCTGAAAATAGAATTTTTTAAAGCCCATGGGAGCTGAAGCATGAAGAATTGCTTGCTTTAAATGATGTTCACATTTGAGATAGCATCTGAAACCATTATAGGAAATCAAATTTTGGAATGGTAGTGAAGACCGTATCAGGCTGTAGCAAAGTAACACAAATTATTTTCCCTTAAGTAATGAGAAAAAAAAATCCAGTTTATTACAAAGAAAAAATATATGTATGTCAGAATTATGTGAATATTTTAGAGAAATAGTTATTTCTTTTGCTAAATTTCTTTGTTAAAGTTTATTATACCTTAGTTAAGAGCAATGTACTCACTTCACTGAGATGCTAGCAATGTTGCCAACATACACATGGTTCTATTGCAGGTCTAAGTAGGAGTTTTCATACATTAGATGCTGTTATTATAATTAATAAATATATAATAATAATGATAATAAAATTTTGGACAGATAAAATGTTCTATTTGTATTTATCATGCACAGAAACAGTGGATATCTTGATTTCATGGAGGAATCTGTGACAACAACTGAAATGTTCTGTTCTACTGTTTTGTTTTATTTCTTTATTTTTTCAGAGACAGAATCTCACTCTGTCACCCAGACTGCAGTGCAGTGGTGCAGTCACAGCTCACTGCAGCCTTGAACTCCTGGGCTCATGTGATCCTCCCGCCTTGGCTTCCCAGTGTTGGCATTACAGGTGTGAAGCACTGTGTCTGGTCTGTGGTTTTGTTTTAAAGAGAGACTAAGCTAAGAATGTGTGAAGGAAGAGTTAAAAGAAATATTCCAATTCTTATCAATAAAGTAAAAATTCTACAAAAGAAGTATAATTAATCACAAGAAAAATTAATGTAGATGCACAGAAAAAGCTAGAGCTTTTTACTCACATTTACTTTATAAAAACTTTTTCCCTCTTACAATAAAAAAAATGCTCTGGTAAATAGTATATCTCCCATAAATATTTTAAAAAATATAATTCTCTTCTCAAAATTTCAATTTACATACTACTTTTCAGCCATGTGCTACAAGAAAAGCAAAGTATACCAGTGCAAGATTAATTGCTTTCTAAGAAGCCTTCATTTGTTTTGGAAGAAATGAAATAACTGTAACATATTATCAGTGGATATGTCTAGGTAAGAGTAGTCTATGAATTCACATAGGCAAACTACTATAGTTTCAAAGGGCATCTCACATTTTGAGTTCTTTAAAGTTCAAATCTGTTTCAACACATCTTGGTATGCTAGTCTTGAAAAGGAGTCAAGAAGTCAGCTAGTTTTAAGCAAATAACTATTGTAGGTACAGATTTAAGGCACTCTTTGTGAAAATAATACTTGTATGTTATAATCCATTACATAATGAAACCATAAATAAAAATTTCTTGTACTAGATGACTACTTGGTTAAGATTATGATAAACATTAAAGTTTTTCCAGAAACAGTTTTCCTTAAGATTTTTATATATGAAGACTGCACATGTACTGTGAATGAAAGGCAGCCTTATTTCAGAACATTTCTAGTTGGCATCAAGTTACTGACCTGTTTGATATTCTTGGAGATAGGACCTGGAATAATATAGTCATCACTGTTAGAAGCTGGTATGTCCTCTTCAACTGTTAAAAAATAAAAGGGTAACATTTACACAAGTTAAACCAATTCTACTTATACCTTGTAAAATAAAGAGAAACAAGCACACACCATAAGATAACCTTAAGAAACACGGTAATTGTATCTAGATCTTTTTTAGTAGCAAATTTGTTTACAGACACATTACATTTTAGGGAAAAAAAAGACTAAAAATTTCAAGGTTAATTTTGGTAGAAGCAAAGGAAATGCCAATACAAATACAGTTTATTGTGAAATTTAAGAAAAAATTTTTAAGAAGAGAAGCATAGGGTAATAGATGTTTTTTAACAGTCTGACCAGTAACGTTATGTAAGTCAATGCTATTCTTATTAGAGTTTTAAAATTTTTATTGCTTTATTGAAATAAAACTGACAGACAATAAGCTACAGACAATTAAACTGCAAAATTTGACACACACACACACACACACTTTAATTATTTTTAGAGACAGGGTCTTGCTATGTTACCCAGGCTGGGGTACAGAGGCTATTCACAGGCACCATCACAGCACACTGTAGCCTCAAAGTCCTGGGCTCAAGTAATCTTCCCTTCTCAGCCTCCCAAGTAGCTGAGACTACAGGCGTGCAACACCATGCTTGGCTAAAATTAGATGTTTTGCCGTAAGTGTAACTCTGTGAAACCAACACCACAGTTAAGATAGTGAACATGTCCATCACCTCAAAAAGTCTCCTCAGGCCCCCTCTTCCTTTCTGCCCCTCCCCATTCCTATTCTTACAGATTAGTTTGCTTTTACCAGATTTTTAAAAATACAGTAAGTGGTCATTTTTGGCTGGGTTTCAATTTTTAAAAAGTCAAGACCTCTACACTAACGCAGACAGTAATACTGAACTCAAAGAGAAAATAAAACTGTTTAAAACATAAATTGGGAACATGGTCAGCAACAACACTTGTATTCTATTGTGGAGCTCCAAGTTGAAATAAGAAGAGATACAACAATTCCACCTAACTACAACTAAGCAGATGGAACTATATTCTATCATTTCTGTCAAGAAACAGGTATTGTGAAGTAGATGCTACCATTAAATGAAGAGTTCCATGGTGCACACTCTAACAGACAAAACAAAGCACAGAGTTAACTAAACAATGTTAGTTTAAATAAGAAAGTCACCTTCTGGTTCCAAGTCCTCTGTTATTTCTGTTTCATCTTCAGAAGATGTCAAGCTTTGTTCTGCAAGCTGACCTTCAGATAGTAAAGACACATCATCTTTTCCTTGCTGCATTTTCTCAGTATTTTCTTTTACCTCATCTACACTGCTTTCTTGTGAGACCTGAAGAAATAAAAGCACACTGGCATATTTATTATTGCTTAGATCACATTTTATAGCATTATTGCTGGAACAATTGAATAATAAAGCATGTAAATTTGAGACTTAAATATACAGATATGTGATATGTATGAGACTCAGAAAACAACCACTTCAATTTGTACAGACAAATGACAATATATAGATAAATGGAAATCTGAATATGTACTAAGAATAAAAAATGTATTAATCTCAAAATGAATTTTACATTAAGACTTTAATTCACACATCCATATATTACCTGCCAATAGCAGTATAATTATAGCTGTTACCCTTGTCATATTTTTGACTTTCTATTCCAAGGAAGTCACATATAAAAATAGGAGAAATGCTATGACTTCCTGAGTCATGTCAAAACTTATAAGACAAAGTCTTTAAGAACCAAATTAAACCTTCCAAAATAATTTTAACACAAACACATACCTCGGGAACAGGTGGAACAGTTGGCATATTAATTTCTATTTCTGGTATATGCTCTACCTCTGGTGAAATTTCCTTCATATCTTCAGGAGGAGGAGAAGTCTCCTTATATTAACGTGAAAACATGCATATATGTTATTTTTTATTTATTACTAAATCCCAAATCATTCTATTACATACATACTGAACTAATAAAAATTGGCAGCAAATATAATACTCATATGACACTGAATTTACTTAATTTCAATAAAATGGTATTTATATTCTTTAAAATATAAATATATATAATATATATGTAATTTAAGAACTGCAAGTTCAATTCATTGAAGCACTGTTTACAATAGCAAAAAAAACTAAGAGCAATGCAAACGTCCAATAGGGCATTAGTTAAATAAAATATGCTATATCCAAATACCTGAGTTCTGTGTTACTATGAAAAAATTTGATGTAGATCTGTGTTTATTAACATTACAGAGAATATATAACATGGTATTGAGTAAAAAAGCTACTTACAGAACAATATATATAGTTGTATTATGTTTGATTAAAATACAAACGAGCAAGCAAACGTATGTATGTGTATATTTCCATGGGAAAAAGAATGAAAGGAAATTCATCCAAACAGTATCTCTGAGTTTTAGATTTGGGAACATTAGAACATTAACTTTTTATTTTCACTGTTTTTTTTTTTTCTTTTTTGTATTTTCTAATATTTCTGTGATGATTATAAATTACTCATGTGATTTTAAAAATGTCATATGTTAGCATAGGTATGTATTCCTTGTGATCAATGTCACCTTTTTATTTCATCAAATATGAATTTATAGTTAGCTATTATTCCTGGGTTAATAAACTAATGTTTAGTTTTAAAATATAGCTTATGACTTTTACTATTTTTAAAAGTAAACATGGCCAATGTAGGAAATGTAAAAGATAAATATAAAATAAATCAATATAAATCTAGTACTCAACGGTGGTATCTATTAAACTTCTTAGATTTCTATTTCTGTAAAACTAATTTTTGATGGAAATAAAAATTTTGGTTACACAGTAATAACTGCATATAAATACAATATATCCTGTTACATTTTTAAAAATTTAATATCAGAACATAAATATTTTCTCCTGATATGAAACTTGGAAAACATAATTTTAAATGACAATAGAATATTATATTGATGGGTGTGCCATGGCTTAATGAACCATTTTACTGCTGTTGGACATTTAACTAGTTCACCGTTTTTAGGTATTATGACTAACATTGCAACAAACACCTCTATGTTTGTGTCTTTTTAATGTTAGTGGTCATTTACTCAGGAATCAGGCTGTGTTCAAATCCCAGTTCTAATACTTTGGCCATAAGCAAGTTACTTAACCTCTCTAAACATCACTTTCCCCATCTTTAAATGGGAATAATTCTAGTATGAACTACATAGGGTTGTTGTGAGGATTAAATGAGTTAATAAGCACTCCATAAATACCAGTGATAAAACATCTACTGAATTATAATTATTGAATTCATTATTTATCATACACATATTAAATGCTCTGAATGTGCCAGGTATTATTTTAAGCTCTGGAGAGACAGAATATTTTGAGGTGGGTGGTAGTTACACAGGTGTATACATATTTAAAAATCCATTGAGCTCTATGCTTATGATTTATGTCCTTTACTATGTAAGTTATATGCGAATTACAAAGAAGATATATTTTCTAAAAAGTCCACCAAAGAGAATGGTAACAATCTGAATACAGTAGATATTTTTAAAGTACAGCTGACACCTTTTGTGGATGACCTGGGTGTGGGGGTGAGACAAAAAGAGGAGTCAAGAGGACGCCTCCAAAATTTCATGCCTGTGCAATCAAGTGAGTGATTATGTCATTTACAGAGAATGGGAAACAGTGAAAGAAGCAAACATTTTGGAAGAGGGTTGGTATAATCAGGAGTTTGGTTTCTGACATGTTAAGTTTAAATTCCTATTAAACATTCATTGCACATTAAATAGGTAGTAAGAAAATGAATATGAAATTCAGCAGTGAGGTCTAGACTAAAGATTATAGATATGAAAGTGTCAGCATATAGATGCTTTTTAAAGCCATGGGGCTGTATGAGATCTCTTAATGTAGATATGGATTGAGAAGAGGTCTAAGGATTGACTACAGAGGCACGTCGACATTTAAACGTATGGTTAAGGAGCATGAGAAGTATAATAGTAAACTTGGAGGAAAGCTAGGAAGGTATGGTGTCCCAGAGGCCAAGAGAAGAGAGGCCCGTATTCCACTGTGTCAAATGCTTCTGGGAGACTAAGACAGGCACTGAGAATTGACTATGGCATATGGCAGACAGAAAGTCACTGAGACCTTAGTTAAGAGTAGTTTTATGAGGATGAAAGCTTGACTGAAGTGAGTCCAAGAAACAATGTGAAGTGAAGGAGACAGAGTTTAGAAAACTTTTGAAGACTTTTTTTTTTAAATAAATAGGAGCAGAGGATTGGGGCAGAAGCTAAAGAGAGGTAAGGGCCCAAAAAAGGGTTTAGATAAGAAATTTGAACAGTTAACACTTACATATAGTGCCAAAACACAAAGCGATCATTTTAATGGGAAAAGACATACTTTATTCACCTGTTTCCATTTAAATTAGGTAGGGAATAGTATGCCTATATAATTTATTTCAAATATTTGTTATGAAAAAATCACTATTTTCAGTGTTGACTACTTACATCACTCTGATGTGGCATGATATCCACGAAAGATACCTTCTTACCTACAGGTGTTAAACGTTGTCTTGGTTTAGGTCTTGGTGCCTAAGACAAACCAACCAATATGTCAGACTGAGTATGATGACCATTAGATTTCAGATAAGACTTTAGCTATTACTATTAATTTTTTTTTGGTGGGGGTCACAGGCTTAGTTCTTAAGTTTTATATTCAAAATGTTATACTTGTTAAAAAAATTAAAAGTCACTGTTACTCACTACAACTAGTGTACTAACAGAGGACGCTGGAGGAAGTCTTTGAACAACTTCTGGCTCTTCTCTGCGAATGAAATTTCCTAAGTCTTCCATTGTTATTGATCCACTTGGTGGAAGGTAAGCAAATTTCCATTTCAATATAACATGGATGGTGCCAGCAGGATGCTTTTGATGGTCTGTTAACTCAAATATTCCTGTCAAATTACAACAATTTTAATTAACGCTAGGGTGAAGTTCTATTACTGTAAGAATAAAAGAACAAAGACCTCTCTACTTTAAGAGACTCATGCTATACCGACTGAGCTAGCCAGGTGGTTGTACCCCCTAATTTTGGCTTTTACTCAGAATTCAGAAGGCTTAGAGAGTAGAATAAACACAAAACGATCTATGACAGGTTCATCCCTCAAGTAGACTTCCTTCAGAAGTTAAGGCCTCAAAGATAATACTGAGAAAATTAATTTATAAATAATTTAATTCACTGAAATTAAATTCAGAGATTATTCAGAATTCTTAGCCTTCCTTCGAGAAGGCTCAAGTATCCTCCATTTTGACTTGAAAGTTTTTGCAAGGCTTGTCTCTAAAGAAAAATATATTAATACTTTAAAATTTCAAATAATTTACACATCTAAAGAAATTTTTACATTACCATATAATTCTATTATAATTTTAAATGTATTTTGTTGGGATTTGTTAAATCACTCCAAATTAACAGTAGCACAGAAAAAGTCCATAAAATAAACGGACCATCTACAGCAAATAGCAGTAACCAAAGAAATGTGAATCTGCTATAATGAGTCTCAAATTTTAATAGTTGCACTTGATTTCTGGGTATGAAAAAAATCTCTGACTTAAAAAAAACATCTATCTATCTTTTAAATTTTTTTTAAATAGACAGGGTCTCACTACATTGCCCAGGCTGGAGTGCAGTGATTATTCACAGATGCGATCATAGCACACTGGCCACCTTGAACTCCTGGCCTCAAGCCATCTGCCTACTCAGCCTCTGGAGTAGCTGGGACTACAGGCACCGGCATAAACCTAAATTTCAAGTGTTAGCTTTTGCGTAAGAGTATCCTTTACTTTGCTCTCAAATGTTGATACTCTTTTTAATGGCTGGCTGGAAAAAAAAAACTCCCGAACTCTAGACTTTGGGTAGGATAAAAGGATGTAAGTAGAACATGAGGTGATAAACTTTTATAGGCATAGCAAGACTTCCAGAATAGCTAAGTAAAAAGCTCAGCAAATCCTCTCTTAAAAAATGATTAAAAAAACTGGACAAAATGGTCAGAAACAACCATTTAAGGATTCTGGAAATTGATCAAATATATTGGATAAATCAAGAAGCATTTACTCTAGAAAATCTACTGCACCTTAGTAAGAACAGTAGGAATCTGTGGGACTGCTCTTATCCTCCCCTTTCTTCCCTAGTCCCATTTTGCAGAAGTTCTCCCAGGCTACGATAGGCACAGAGGACTGGCAGCCTCTGTTGTAGGGCGCTGACTATATGTGGACAAAATATAGATAATTTCATGCCCAGAGCTATTGTTAAAAACAACAGCAACCTCAATGGCAAACAATCAGAGAAGGTCAACATCACAGACAGCCTGAGGTCTCAATACTGGTTGGGGCAAGCCAAAACACCAGAAGGCCAGCCAACAATTTAAAAGGGTGATCCAAGGAATAAGATATCAAAAGTGAGCGTTGGCTGGGTGCAGTGGCTCATGCCTGTAATCCCAGCACTTTGGGAGCTGAGGCAGGTGGATCACTTGAGGTCAGGAGTTCGAGACCAGCCTGGCCAACATGGTGGTGAAACCCTGTCTCTACTAAAAATATAAAAATTAGCCAGGTGTGGTGGCGGGTGCCTGTAATTCCAGTTACTTGGGAAGCTGAGGCAGGAGAATTGCCTGAACGCGGGAAGAGACGTGGGAAGAGGAGGTTGCCATGAGCCCAGGTGGCACCACTGCACTCCAGCCTGGGCGACAGAGCAAGACTCCATCTAAAAAAAAAAAAGTGGGACTTGACAAGATCCTATTTATAGCTCATGATGTGGAAGGCTACGGGCACGCATAAAGCTGTGTAAATGCTCAGGGGAAACCCTGGTAAGCTATCTCTCCCTGGTTGAATGAGAAGTCTAGTCAATTCGGAAAGTAAAAGCTGAGGCAGGCTTGTAGACCAAACTTTGATTTGAATGCATCCTCCATGCCACACACTGACCCATAGGCAAAGGGTGGAAACCTACTGGCTCAACGTGTTTAAGCACACCTTTGAACAATCACTGGCTGACCACTAAGCTATGTTGACTTATGGTTAAAATTGAAACAAAAAGAAAAAAAGAAACAAAACTTAGCAGAAACATCAGTGGCTTACACAGCAGAGGAAATAGATTCTACAGAATTAGTCAAGGCAAGTCACCAAACAAACAAAAATAGCAACAATACCTAGGAAATGACGTTACAATATATTCTCCAAAAATGTCCAGTTTTCAACAAAATACTTATGAGACATGCAAAGAAACAGGAAAATGTACTGCACACACAGCACAAAAACCATCAATAGACATTTTTTGAGGATGACCATATGTTAGACTTGGCAAAGATCTCAAAGCAGCTATTATCCGTATGTTCAAAGAACTAAAAGAAAGCGTATTTAGAGAATTAAAAAGAAAGTATTCCGTCTCTACTAAAAAATACAAAATACTAGCCGGGCGTGGTGGCGGGCGCCTGTAGTCCCAGCTACTGGGGAGGCTGAGGGAGGAGAATGGCGTGAATCCCGGAGTCGGAGCTTGCAGTGAGCTGAGATCTGGCCACTGCACTCCAGCCTGGGCGACAGAGCGAGACTCCGTCTCAAAAAAAAAAAAAAGAAAGAAAGTATAATGATAATGTTTTATCAAATAGGGAATATAGTAAGAGATTATAATGCTTGAGTGCAGTAGCATGTGCCTGTAGTTTTAGCTGCTCAGGAGGCTGAGGCAGGAGGATTGCTTGAGCCTAGGAGTTGAAGGCCAGCCCGGGCAACAGAGCGAGATCCCTAATTCTGGAGCTGAAAAGTATAATTACTGCAATGAAAAAATTCAAGAGGGTTCAGTAGGAAATCTGAACTGGTAGAAGAAAGAATTAATGGACGTGAATGTTGATCAGAACAGATTATACAATCTGAAGAATGGGAGGAAAAATGAACAAAAATGAATAGAGCCTCAGAGACCTGTGGGGAAACCATCAAACATACCAACATATGGTACATGTACTGGAAGTTCAAGAAAGAGAAGAAAAAAAGAGGAGGAAAAATAACTGAAAAAATAATGGCGGTAAACTCCCCAAATGTGGTGCATAACGTTACACTACACATACAGGAAGCTCAACAAATTCTAAGTAGGATAAATGCAAAAGGATCCACATATAGACACATCAGAAGAACTGCTGAAAGCCAAAACAAATAGAAAAACCTGGAAAACAACATCAAGTATGAGAGAACCACAATAAAATTAACAACTGATTTCTTATCTGAAACAATGGATGCCAGAAGTGGTCTGAGGTACTCAAAGTGCAGAAAGTTAAAAACCAAGCTAAACGAAACTGTTGACCAAAAATATTATATACAGCAAGGCTATCCTACAAAAAACAAAAGCAAAATAAAAACACTCCCAGATAACAGAATCCTCCCAGATTGAGAAAATTCACTGCCAGTAGACCTAACTTACAAGACATATCACAGAAGTTCTTCAGGCTGAAGGAAACAGACACCTATGGTAACTCAAGTCCACACAAAGGAATAGAGACCAATAAAGGTAATTACATAGGTAATTACAAAACACAGTATAAATATACATTTTATCTGGTCTTAACTGTTTTAAAAGATAACTGCATACGACGATAATTGTAAAATTATATTGTTGGGTTCATAACATAGGAAGACAAAACATATATGGTGATAGCACAAAGAAGGGGAAGGAAATAGAGCTATATTGGAATAAGAAACTGATATCAGACAGTAACTCAAATCTACAGGAAGAAATAAAGAATACCAAAAATGCAAATATGTAGGTAAATATCAAAGTCTTCTATAATTATATATTTTCTCCCATCTCTTACTTCTCTTAACTTTTTTAAAGAATATAAGATTTTATAAAGCAATGATTACAACATTGTATTGTTGGGTGTATAATACATAGAGAGGCATACTATATACATATATACGATAATAATTGCAAAAAGGAGATGAAAGAGAATGAAATATTAGATTTTCTATATTTTAATTGAATTATTTAATTTAAATACCTTAAGTATTTAATTCCATTAAGTTAGTATTAATTTTAAGTAGACTGGGATAAGATGCACATTGTAATCCCTAGAGCAACTAGTAAGAAAATAATTTTTAAAATATACTAATATAGGCCTAAAGTTTAAAGACTTAGAAGAGGTTAGGATGATTAGCTATAAATCATATCCATAACAGTAAGATATAATTTTGTTTTGTTTTTACAATTTTATAGATTCAAGAACATAGTCTTACCTGAGATACACCTGTCATGTGCCAACGAAATCAGAGGCACATTGACTTTTCCTATGTAAATATTCTCCTGGGTATCACTATCATCAAAAACATAAAAACTCAGAGACTCTGACTTAAGGTACCGATCCAAATCCATATTCATTGGCACTGGGAAACACATATGATCATCAAACTGTGGATCATTGCTACTGGGAATGATGGCTGTATCATGGTCTGCAAAATCAAAAAACTTGTACACAACATATGGGTGTGGCTGCAGGTGGCTTGCTCGGGACTGCAGGTGGTTGCAACATCTTATTGTAATGTGAAGTTCATTTAAGTTGCCATCTGTGGAATCTGTAGAACTGAGTTGAGCAGTTTTGGGTGCTTGCTGACTTAACTGGAAAAACATACATATTTATATTACGGAAACAATACAGTTAAAAGATAAACAGCAGCTGCCAAGCCCCAAATAAGATAATTTTGTCAACGACAAAAGCTGCGTATTTTTACCTCATAATTTCTCTGTAAAATAAACTTTGATTCTAATGGAAAATCAGTATTCCCTAGAACATGTGTGAATAGATGATCCTGTGTTATTAGCAATAAACCTTAGAGACTGAGCATACATGTAGAGATTGGTGCTAAAATCAAATAAAACCCAGAAAAATGATAATCTGATGTTCTTCAATTCTATTTGATAACTTAAGACTATAGTTAGCAGTGGGTCCAAAGATGAACATCCTAACTAAAAGACATTCACCTGCCCACCCAGAGTAATGATTCTGTTATATTTGGGTTGGCCCTCATCCTGAACTGTTGGGATTTGAGGAAGCAGATACCTGAGGCCAAATGAGCCACTATAACAAAGTCGAACTGTTATGAGAAAATGAGAACAGAGTCAGAGATAAACCTTGAAGGGAAAAAGAGCTAGGACCGGGAGGATACTTCAGGAGAGAGAGGAACAAAAGGAGTTATTAGGTAGAGCCGGAAACTACTCTATGGTTCCTCTGGAACCATTACTGAGATGGACGGCACACAGGTATTTTAGAAAAGAATTGCGCTGACCGTTAAATATTCCATGGCTGATGTGATCTGGAACAAAGAAAATGCTAGTGTTTCTGTGCTTTGTTTGGTTTAGTGCTGGAGTCTCTACCTTCCACAAAGGCATCCCTCTGCATTTCTGAATCTGGATTGAGCATCTGGGACCCTGACTCCATGAGAAGTTTATTGGAGGAGGAAAAAATAAAGCTGTCGTCATAATCTCCTTAGTGGAGAAATCCGGTGTGTGGAGAGGAGAAACCTAAGTAGTGAATCACAATATTGCTTTCCCAGGGCTAGTTTGCCCTCAGCAATAGAAGGCTGAGAGGAATGACTGAAAAAGTACCTCCACTTCTCCCCTCAATCTACCTACCAGAGCTGAAATTCCACCAGGAAACAACTTACTCAAGTCAGAATCTGGGAATCTAAAAAGCTTTACACTACAAAACCAAACAATGTGGGTCTCCTTATTTCTAACTCCCATCCCCATAACAGCATTTCCCAAAGTGTGCTGTAAGGAATACTGGCCAGAAAGATGGTCTCTGGAAGCAGGTGCACTCTTTCTTAAGTTTGGAAATCAGTGTGATATTAGTCATGCTTCTTTAACTGAAAGTCATAGAAATTAATTCTATCTAGCAAAAACAACAAAAAAGGGACTTTAAGGTTACAGGCATATTTCATGGAATATAGACTAGAAATGTGGTTGGGCCTTCAGAAGGCAGTGGCCTAGAAACCAGCAAAATGTCCTCTCCATCTGGTCTCCATTTTTTTCTGTATGTTTGTTCATTACTCTCTTTCTTCAGACCTATTGTCTAACCTTCACTGTTTAATATGGTAGATGATGGCTGCCTACAACCCCCAATTTTACGTGTTCCAGATATGTCTTGCTTTCTCTTGATCTCAGAGGGAAGAATCTGACTGGCTCAACTGGTGTCAAGTGGGTATTCTCAAATCATTAGTTATAATAGGGTGGGGAGTGAAAGAAAATGGGATCTGCTAACACAAATCCAGCCACTGGGAACCCAGCTCCATGGATTGGAGGTGAGGGAGTTCCAAATAAAAAAAGAGGTAAGATAATTATGACTTGAACAGACATACCAAATGTTTCTACTATATCCTATCCCTCTGTTACTCAATGTGAGTGCATACTTTACATTGCCTATTAGAATTCATGTAATATAGGCTGGCCGCAGTGGCTCACGCCTGTAATCCCAGCACTTTGGGAGACCGAGGTGGGTGGATCACAAGGTAAGGAGATCGAGACCATCCTGGCTAACATGGTGAAACCCTGTCTCTACTAAAAATACAAAAAATTAGCCAGGCGTGGTGGCAGGTGCCTGTAGTCTCAGCTACTTGGGAGGCTGAGGCAGAATGGCGTGAACCTGGGAAGCGGAGCTTGCAGTGAGTGGTGATTGCGCCACTGCACTCCAGCCTGGGCAACAGAGCAAGACTCCGTCTCAAAAAAAAAAAAAAAAAAAAGATTCATGTTGTATATGGGAACCCCTAAGTCAAGAATCATATTTAACCTTGCTCAATTCAAGGCCTTCTGCATTTATTGATTCATGGAACTAATATGAAAATATGGTCGTTAAGACTCCACGAAACATTGTTTGGGAAATGCTGCCCTAAGGAGTTGCATTTAAATTCCCAGTTCCCAGAAACAGAATATTAATTTTGTATTCTACTTTGCACTTCAGAAACCTAACATGAGGAAATAATTTGAAAGCACAGTAACTGATAGTCCAATAACAGCTGTTTATTTCCTTAACAGTAGAATTTTTAACAAAAGTCTTTTGATGCATGACAGCAGTATTGTGATGATTAATTTTTCAAAAGTGTCCTGAGTAGCACAGGGGAGTTTCTTTGTGTTGATGGAACAGTTCTGTATTTTGGTTTTGGTGGTAGTTATATGAATCTATACATGTGATAAAACTGCAAAGAATAACTACACACATACGTGCACGCACACACACACACACACACACAAGTGCATGTAAAAACTGATGAAATTTGAGGAAGGTATGTAGCCTAATTAATAATATTGTACCAATGTCAATTTCCCGATTTTGAAATTATACTATAGTTATGCAAGATGTTACGATTAGGAGAAATTGGGTGAAGGTTACAGGGGATCTCTTTGTACTATTTTTACCACTTCCTGTGAGTATATGATTACTTCAAAATAAAAGTTAAAAAAAGCCACTTGATGGCTGTGAAAGAAAACGATTTCAGTTTAAAGCACGACACATAAATAAATATTATAAAATTTCTATGTTATAAAAGGGTCTTAAAGCCAAATGAGCTTACCGACTGCATATGCTCTGGCCCCTTAAAATTTGATGTTATATATCCCAAAGCCTTTGCCCTTTCTCGATAAAGTCGAATTGCTTGATCCATGGGAACTCTTAATCGGAACCAGTATTCCACTGTGCCAAAATCTGGGATGTCTCCTTTTGTTCCTACAAATCAACACATAACCCAAGGTTAAAATAGTTTCATGCATTAAAATATGTACCAGTAAAAATACATCAATGGAATTATGCATTAAAACTATACATTTTATGCTGAGTAAAATAATATGACTTGCACAAATGATGTGAGATTGGCAAACAGCAGACGAAGAAAATACTTACTTCTGAAGTATGAGTTTCATTGTATACTAAATATTATTAAAGAACTACATCAAACTATGTTTGAGATATTCCAATTTGTACTATTTCATTTCTTCTGAAATATATTTAAAAAACCTAAACACTGAATCAAATACTCCACAGATTCTTTTTGATGCTATAGTATAATACTTTTTAAAAATAAGTTGCACTCAATGTTGTCTGACATTTACAATATGAAACCTCAAAATTATAAATATGACGTTCCACATTCTAATTCAAGTTTCAAGACATCTTTGCCACCTTCCCATTTGTATACTATATCACAAGCATAAGGGAAAATGTCATAGCTATGCCAAACACATGTCGCATGCAGTATACCCTTGCACGACGTTTGCCCTCACACCCTAATACTCCTCTCAACTCAGCCAGTTCTTCATCTGTCTTCTGCGGGGAAGACTTTCTGTATGGCTCCCAGGAGAATAGAGCCCTGTGCTTCCTTCATGGATGTTGTATGTCCTTGTTAGGGCATTGACTGCTTCGGCCCATCTGTTCACCAGTCTATTTCTCTAATACGCTGTAAGTTTCTTGAGAGCAAGTGCCATAATTTCCACCAATATATTCCTACCAGAGGAACCAGTATATAAAGGCTACTTAATATTTGTCAAATAGAGAATATTCTATACATAAACTTTTCTGAACACACCAGATTATTACAAATATTACCCCTACTCTTTCCTACTTTATCAATTTTTTTCCCTGTTAATGGATCATTCTCATCAGCATACAAATGTGACTTACTATCTGCCTGTCATAGTTTGAATGTTTGTACCCTCCAAGACTCATGCTGAAATTTAACTATCATTGTTAAGAGTATTATGAGTAGGACCTTTAAGAGGTGATGAGGCCACGAGGGATCCACCCTCATGGGTAGGATTGGTGCCATTATAAAAGACTGAGATTGGCCCCTTCTTGCTCGCTCCCACCCTCTAAACCTTCTGCCATGTTATTATGCAGCAAGAAGACCCTTACCAGATGTGAACACCTTGATATTGGACTTAGGTATTCTGCTACAGCAGCACAAGACACAGTATGACAGAAGTAATCATTTAAAAATAAGTCCTGAAAGAATAATATTAATGTAATATATATTTGCTTGTATATGCATAAAAGATCTTTGAAGCTGGGTGTAGTGGCTCATGCCTACAATCCCAGCACTTTGGGAGACTGAAGTGGGCGCACTGCTTGAGTCCAGGAGTTCAAGACCAGCCTGGACAACAGAGTGAGACCCCGTCTTTATGGAAAAACACCCCAAACAAACAAACAAAAATCTTTGAAAGAATCTGTAGCCTTCGGTGAGGGGACCCAGGGTGGCTAAGGAGAAGGCGAAGGAGGTAGACATTGACATCTTTTTGATTTTTGAGTCATGTGAATATATTACCTATGCAATTGATCACTCAATTAATAAAATAAAATCTGTCCCAAGACCCTAAGTCACCCTCCTTCCTTCTTCAAATACTTTCTTCACTTAGTCCCTGGGGTACCACAGACTCTTGGTTTTCCTCCTACATCACTGGCCACTCCTCAGTTTCCTTTGCTGGCTCTTCCTCCTCTTCCTGAGGCCTTACTTTTGGAGTTTCCAAAGGCTTGGTCCTTGGCCACCTTCTTTCCTTTATGTACATTCACTCTCTATGTGATTTTATCTATGCTCATGGCTTAAAATATATTCTATATGCTAACAACTCCCACTTTTATATCTCTATCCCTTACCTTCAGATTGGTGTGTCCAACCAACAGCCTGACATTACCACTTGGATGTCTAATAGGCAGGTCAATCTTAACCTGTCCAAACAGAATTCTTGATTTTCTTTATCAGATGTGCTCCTTTCCCAGTTTTCCCTATCTCAGTAAATGGTATCACCATTCTTCCAGCTCCTCATGCCAGAAATTCTTGCTTCATCCATTTCCCTCATTATCACACATTCAACTGATAAGCAAGTCTTGAAGGAGAAGTTAATAAAATATGTACTGAATATAACTACTTTTTATCGCCACTTTCATTACCATCTTAATCCAAGCCACCATCGTCTTTCCTTGATCAATGCAATAGCCTGAGAACGGTCCTATTTTCCCTCTTGCCTGCTTCAGACTATTCTTTCTACAGCACTCAGGGTGATTTTTCTAAAAGCTCAGAAAATCCAAACTCCTCACTCTGACCTACAAGGCTCTGCAACATGATCTGGCCCCACCTATCACTTGAATCCCCTCTTTGCCGCAGCCACTGGGCTTCCTGCTGTTCCTCCCACTGTCAGGCTTGCACTTCCTCAGGTTTTTGCACTTGCTATGGCCTCTGCCTGAAACATTCTTCCCCTGGATCCTGGCATGGATCTTCATTCTTTGCCAACACTACCCTCTCAGAGAAGCCCTTACCTGAATTTGCAACCTGCCATTTCTCCCTTTAGCCTCTTGCTCTGATTAACTTTTCTGTATTGCCTGTAATCCTCTCTAGAAGGTAAGCTACAAGGGGTAGTTTTGTCTCTCTAAATTACCACTGACCACCTTATTCCCAGTGCCTACTAATAGTGATAACATAAGGTCTTAAAAAAAGTAATAATTTTATAAATAGCTTATATTATTATTTATATTAGTTATAACTATTAAACTATAATTTAAATTATTATAAACTAGTAAACTATAGTTCAATACATAAATTTATTTATAAATTACATAATTTAGCCAGAGTATCAATACGATAAACATCCAAAGTTACAAGTTTTAAAAAATTAATAGCCATTGTGCTGACATCATCAATGACATTTTTTTTTGAGATGCAGTTTCGCTCCTGTTATTCAGGCTGGAATGCAGTGGTGCCATCTCAGCTCACTGCAACCTCTGCTTCCCAGGTTCAAGCGATTGTCCTGCCTCAGCCTCCCAAGTAGCTAGGATTATAGGCATGTACCACCACGCCTGGCTAATTTTTGTATTTTTACTAGAGATGGGGTTTTGCTGTGTCTGTCAGGCTGGTCTGGAACTCCTGGCCTCAAATGATGCACCTGCCTTGGCCTCCCAAAGTGTTGGGATTACAGGAGTGAGCCACTGTGCTCGGCATCAGTGACATTTAAGATAGTCCAATTAACTGTGGGTAAAGAACGCTGTCTGTGCTCTAAAGGCACCTTTAATATGTAAGAAAAGATAGTAGAGTACCATATCAATATATAAACCAAATTAGTAATTCAAACACCCAAAGCTTATACATTGTACTTACCAACCAAACTTGCTGTACAGAATATTCGGCCGCTTTTTTCAAGCATTTCGTGGAATTTTAATTGACATGCTGCAATTGTTTCATATTCTGTGCTATAAGCTTGGTGGACCTCAAGGGTGATAGTATTCTTCTGAATATATTGCAAAAATAAGTCATTAACATGAACAAGATATTGAGAAGTGAAGTTATATTCAGGATGAAAGCCTCGCACTACGGGAGTTGTCTGTAGTTCAAAATCATAGAAAGCATAGGTACAGAAAGTGACAGGCTCTTTATCTCCAGATGCCTGTAAAACTTCAGAAGAAAAGGTTACTTTGTTGATATGGATTTCAAATAGATTTTCGCCTCGTTCTAAGTGGATGGTTTCATCAAATTTATCAACAGAGTCATCTGGCATGATTTCTGGTTTAAATTTGTACTGCTTGGTGCCATAGGCAATATCCTTTAATTGGGCTGCAAGAGAAGACACACAGTTTAGAGATTTCAAAATATTGACATAAGAAAATGAAAACTGGCTTTTGAAGTGGTAGGAATGAGTACTTCTGGTGAATAGTCTCTATTTTAAATTCTATGACTACACTGTTTTTCTGTAAATAATACTTTATCGTACACAAATTTATCATTTCTGTTTTGACATCACCTATTAGGCAACAACAAAATTGCAACCTCAGTTGTAATACAGTCTAAGCCACGAAGAAGGGGAGAAAAAGATCAAAAGAAAAAAAGCCCTCTGGTTGAACAGCTGAGGTCACTACCTGGCTTTCACCTGCTTCCCTGTCTCTGCTCCACCCATTGTCTTCTTTCCTAGAAAGTCAGTCTCTCTTTCTGCTGCCTCCTTTCCTTTAACTTATTAAGATTTATACTCTTCTTCTTTGTGGGGTGATGGATAAGTTTATTACCCTGATCGTGACGATCGTTTCAATGTTATATACATAGGCCAACCAAATATCACCAACGTGAATATCTGCCTTACTTTTCTGTGAAACTGCTCCAGAAAAAGTCACCAATAATCAATTAATTGCTAGACGCAATGAACACTGGTCCTTGTATCACTTGATTTCTTTGCTACATTTGACACTGATGAGGATCTCCCATTAGTGCACTCTGTCTTTCTTACCTGGGCTTCCATGTCATCATCATCTCTGCTTCTCCTCCTATCCTTCTTCTCATTCTTTTGGGATTTCTCTTTCTCTGCTGGTTTTCTGGGCTTCTGTTTTTAATTATTTTCTTAGTCTACATATTCTCATGAGTGATCTCATCAACTTTTATGACTTTTGTCATTATTAATATGCTAAAGGCTTCCATATTACTATTTTAAATTCATATTTATCTTCTCAACTCCATTCCTATATTTCTAATGTTTTGTTTAACCCTCTATGTATCTAGGTATCCCACACAACATATTCAAAACAGAATGTATCATACTGTCTTGTTTTTTTGTTTGTTTTGAAACGGAGTCTCACTCTGTCACCCAGGAGTGCAGTGGTGGAATCTTGGCTCACTGCAACCTCTGCCTCCCAGGTTCAAACGATTCTCCTGCCTTAGCCTCATGAGTAGCTGGAATTATAGGCACCTGCCATCACACCTGGCTAATTTTAAAAATATTTTTAATAGAAATGGGGTTTCGCCATGTTGGCCATGCCGGTCTTGAACTCCTAGCCTCAAGTGATCCATCCACCTTGGCCTCCCAAAGTGCTGGGATTACAGGCTTGAGCCACCGTGCCCAGCCCATATTGTCTTCTAGCTATTTCTGTACTTTAAAGCTTAAGTGATGATTCATTCATTCATTCATCCAGTTGCCCAAGCTAGATCTCACAGAGTCAGCCTCAATTCCCCTTTTTCTTTTTTTTGAGACTATCATAAAACAGCAACTCTTTTTATTTTATTTGCCTCACATCTATAGGGTCACTACCATTCAATACTGTTTCCTAACTCTTCAACAAATTTGTTCTTGTTCTATTTCCACTGTACCTAATTTTACATTTCCAGTTTACTATCCAGATTATTATGGAACTCAAAATGCTTCCTTCCTTCAAATCTTCCTCTTTCTCCTCAATACCTGTAGCATAATCTCCAAAATGCAATTCCGAGTGTATCACTCCCTACTTTAAAATCCCTCTGTGGTTCTCCAGGTTAATAAGGGTCTACCTCATCAATCAGGGTATAAACAGGGCCTTCACAATTTTGTTCCTTCTGGCTTTATCTCCAGGTTCTCCTCCTTTTTTGACTCTCCTGAATTCCAATTGGATGGATCTACAGTGCAGTTTCTCAAATGTACTGCAACACTTCATATTTAGGGCATCTTTCCCTGCTTTGCTTACTGCCTGTAATGCCATATATTACTTTTACTTAGTAGTGAATTCTGTCATCTTTAAAGACTCCATACCTACTGTGTGAAGTCTTCCCTGAATCTTAAGGCAGAAATAGGCATTCTCTTCTCAATGTTTCCTTGATACCTTTAGATTTTCTTAGCTTTACACTCTTCATAGTAAAACATAACCATTTATTTACTTGTCAACATCTTAGGAGTTCCATGAGGGTAGTGCCTTGATTTTTCCTATTTGTATTCTCCCTGCCCAGCACTTTGCTTAGGATGCATTAGGGGCTTGATCATGTTTATGGAGTGAATCAATGAATTGAGGGGATAAAATATGATGGTTAAAATTTAGTAAGACTTGAAAGGAATAAAAATCCCAAACATTGTGACCTCCCTTTTAACCAAGAAAATTCCATTAAGCAAATTTTTATTGAGTACTACTTGGAATAAAAGGTACACATTGCTCCTCGACTTTTGGAAAACGCTGCTTCATCAGATAAAGATATTTATTGAGCTCTTCTACCCAGATCAGAGTTTCTCAAAGTGTGGTTTGGAAACCCCTGATGGTGTCTGAAACCATTTTGGGGATCTGTGAGGTCACAACTATTTTTATTATAATGCTACAATGTAATCTGCCCTTTTCATTTTTATCCTCTCACAAGTGTATAATGGAGTTTCTTGGAGGTTACATGATGTGTGATATCACAACAGATTAAATGCAGAAGCAGATATAAAAATCCAGCTGTTTTCTATTAAGCCAGTCTCTAAAAAGATTTGCAAAATGTTAAAAATTTAAAAAATTTTAAACAATGTCCCTCTTCTTGAAGTATTTTTTTGTTTTGGAAAATATAACTTAAAAAAATAAGTACTGTAATTTATGTTAACATGCAATAAGTTTATTATTATTTTAACAAATTAAAAATATTTAAATTTTTTTCACTTTTAATTTGTTATGATAAATATCAATTAAGTATAACTCATGAATAAAGGCCTTCTCGAACCTCAAAGTTTTAAGAGTGTAAAATTACTGCTGGCATAGACCACTGAAATAAGTATGGTATGTAGTGGACATGGACATGAAAGAGAGACAAAATACTTATCCGTGTAGAACTTACATTGTGGTTACGGAGAATATGCAAAACTCCAACAACTGAAGAACACTTATATGCTCCCCAAACATACAGCTTTTGAGTGCATGAGAAGAAAACTGGGTTGGTAAGTGCTGAGCTAGTTTTTTTCAACATGTAGTCTTGTACCTGCATCTGAATAGCTTGCAGTTATTTCTAAATACAATATAAAAAAGAATGGGCCCCAGGACCTCTAGGGGTAGCGCCCAGGAAACTACATTTTAAATGAGTTCTTCAAGTGATTTTTCGACTTGCTAAAGTCCAAAAATCACTGTAAGGACATTTCAAGTAGAGGGATAGCTAGGAATAACTAGAACCAGCTTCCTAGCACAGGTGAGTATTGTGTTAGGTTTCAAAGCAGGGAAGTGTGTATCTTGGAATCATGGTAGAAAGGAGCTTTAGGCAGAGCAAACAGCAAAAACAAAGGCATGGCAGTGGGCCTGAGCACGACATATCTGCAAAGAGCAGGCAGAGGATCTGTTTGGCTGAGTTGCACAGGTTGCTTCGAAGAGAAATTAGAAAGTGCTGGTAAATTTGAAACTATAGTAATTTATGAAGTACTTTGAAATCTTGCTTGCAACACTGAATTTAAAAAGCAGTAGGGAATTACTAAAAATTCTTGAGTAGAAAAGAATCAAGGCCAGGTGTGGTAGCTCACGCCTGTAATCCCAAAACTTTGAGAGTCCGAGGCGGGAAGACCATTTGAGTCCAGGAGCTTGAAATGAGCCTGGGCAACACAGGCTCTACAAAAAAATTAAAAATTAGGAGTACTGCTTGAACCCAGGAGGTCAAAGCTGGAGTGAGCTAGCTATGAATTAGGGCTAAACACAGCAAAAATACACAGTAAGTGCAGATTTGGATGACTTTATCAACTGTTATAAAATCCATTCCTCTAGTTACTGTGGACCAAAAAATCATGTATGTTGTACCTTCTAGTTTCTGGATACGTGCAGCCCTGATATCCAGAAGATGACCATATTGTTCCACTTTGAGTTCATAGTCTTGCTGCAAATTTTCCATCTTATGGGTCACTGCCTCAACCTCTATCTACAAAATAAGAGATAATAAGTTTTAACACTTGTGATTAGTTCTATTTTCATTATTCAAAGCAACTATGATTCAAGCATTTTCTAGATCCTGGAAATAGCAGGAGCTATGAATCATGGTTTCCTGACCTCAAATAGCTTACACTTTAGAAAATTATGCTTGGCCATATTCACAAATCAGAAGAAAGAAAAAACTCCAGATTCCTTTTTATGGAGCTATGTTTTCGTTTTGTTAAAAGCTAAGATAATATGGTTATGGCATGACTTCAGGATAACTGTAACTCACTTGCAGAATGTGCTAATGCTAACAAAGGTGATTTCATTGCCACTACTCATTCCTTAAAATCAGGGACTTTAAAAACATTATTTGTGGTGGGGTATGGTGGCTCAGGCCTGTAATCCCAGCACTTTGGGAGGCCGAGGTGGGTGGATCACTTGAGGTCTGAGTTAGAGACCAGTCTGGCTAACATGGTGAAACCCCGTCTCTATAAAAATATAAAAATTAGCTGGCCGTGGTGGTGGCGCCTGTAATCTCAGCTACTTGGGAGGCTGAGGCAGGAGAATTGCTTGAACCAGGAGACGGAGGTTGCAGTGAGCCAAGATCATGCCACTGCATTCCAGCCTGGGCGACAACTGCAAAACTCTGTCTCAAAAAAAAAAAAAAAAAAACAAAACAGAAAACACCCCACATTATTTGTTTTAAAACTATTTATTCTAACTAAGTACCTAGTTATGAGGCTACATTGCAGAGATGTGATATGTTAATAGATTACAATAGATGATAATAGATAATATAACAGGTGATAACATAAGGTATTTAGAAAAGTAAATAATCAGCAGAATATTATAGAAAATGTACCCTCCCCATTTAGTGTATTACATTACCTGATAATCTTTATTAATTTTGTGTTGCAAAATTAGCATGTTTCTTGTCTTTTCCAGCTCTTGTACCGTTTCTGCATGAGTTGCTTGCAGCTCTCTCATAGAGCGTTCTAGATCTTTATTAATTTCACTATCCACTTTCACTAAAAAGGAAAGGTCTCCATTTTTTTGTTCTTTTTGAGCCTAAAATAAAAACATGCTTTATGACTGAAACAAAAATTTCTAAGATGTGATTTTATGAATTAATATAGATGTATCAATAAACAATTCATTGATTCATCAATTTTCAATTCATTAATTGAAAACAGATAGAGGAAGTCCTGATATGATATGCTTCATTCCTGATGGAAAAAATGAAATTTATCTGTTAATCAAATTCGAATATTTGGATAGACAATTGGAACAGTTATAGAGAAATCAAAAAATAGTTTGTTACTTTATAACATATAAAAGAAACATGCACATTTATTTTTATTTCTTCATTTGATTAAAATCTACACCGTGATCTAAAAGGAGTGTATTTTTTGTGTCTTCTTGTAAATAACAGAATATTCTAGAACTAAAAACTATCTTCTTGAGATATTTATAATTCAATATTTTACTTAAAGGGTGTGCATCAAGGTCTCTTAGGGCAGAAAATTGTTGATTAGTTAAATAGTGAAGTAGGTAAAAGTAAAATGTTTGTTATAATTAAAGAAAATGCTTTAAATGAGAGTTTTTGAGGTCTGGTTTAACGTAACTTTGATGTCATTATGAAATATGTACATGCTATAACTAAAGGTCATCTGCCCACTTTCCTGATTCTTAGTAGTGTTGATATGTTACATATATATTTTTAAAGGACATACTAAGTTTCAGAAGATGCAAGAATAATTCATTCTCCAAATGTAAGGGTTACAGATAAGGGTCATCATTATGCTGAAACAGTTGTAAGCAGACATGAAAATCACAATGAATTTCAGAACCTTACCTTTATAAGTAGGAGAGCTTCACTCAATTCATCAGCATTAATATCATTCTCCTGCAATAGATTAAGTAAAAGCTCACAATGAGTTATGAATGGAAAATACAAGAGACATTCCAAGTATTCAAATTATCCTCATGAAACATAAACTGACTGATGCCATGAACTAACAAACTAAGTCTACAAGACGTTCCAGCGCTTCAAAATGTCCCTCTGGAACATAAACTACCTGATAGCTTCAGTTAATAAACTGAGTAATTAATATATCTGTATTCTTTTGCTTTGTAGTATAGTGCTTTCTCTATGCATAAAATATTGAGATAAAAATTCTGAGTTTTATTTCTTAAATAAGGAAATAATTCACCTGGTTGTACAATTTCATGCGTTTTTTAAGTTCATCAAGTTGTTGCTTTTGTTCCAGATACTGTAACTGTAGTTCTCTATTCTCTTGAACAAGTTTTTCATTTTGATCTTAAAAATAGTCAACACAATTGGAAAGGTAAGCAAAAATCAGGTTTAAGAACACATTTCAAATTACTTTAAATCCTGTTACACACCAGTCTTGATCTAGTATTGTTCTGGTCAGAAAGGAAACTGAGCTAGCCCCTCGACAAAGACAGCAGGGGAATGAGGAATAAATGAATACTATCATGTGTCTACCATATGAATCACTTGCTTATCAAAAACCCAAGACATAAGTTCACAGTATTAATATAAGGAAATTGTGGCCTATGGGACTTCAAAGGAATGTTCTATTTAAAATACCTGAGAAAATGTGTTTCTAAATCTATGATTTTTTACTTACTTATTAAGGGTCCTGAAAAGCATGTGAAAAAAAAATTGTCTTTTAGTTTTTTAGTTGATATCTTCGAATTTTATTTTCCCAACTTAGCATATAGTATTTTTATTAAAACAAGGTAACTTCCAGAACATAGTAGGGGGATGAGGGATGAAATATTACCTGTTGGGTATAATGTACATTATTTGAGTGATGGTTACACTAAAAGTTCAGATTTCACAGCTATCTAATATACCCATGTGCACTTGTACCCTCTAAATCTATAATAAAAAAATTAAAAAGGAAATTCTGAATCCATATTTAGTCAACCATACTTCCAACAGGTCTATTACAATAGGAGGAATGGATTCTTAAGCTACGCATGGTGGTATCAACAATAATTCATACGGGTTGGGCATGGTGGCTCATGCCTATAATCTCAGCACTTTGGGAGGCTGAGGCAGGAGGATCTCTTAAGTCCAAGAGTTGAGATCAGCCTGGGCAACACAGGGAGATCCCATCTCTAAAATAAATAAATAAATAAATAAATAAAAATTAGCTGGGCATGCTTGTAGTCCCATCTACTTGGGAGGCTGAGGTGGGAGGATCAGTTGAGCCTGGGGAGTTGAAGCTGCAGTGAGCCATGATTGTGCCACTGCTCTCCAGCCTGGGCAACAGAGCAAGACCCTGTCCCCCCAAAATAAATAAATTCATATGTGCTCTTTATTCACTGAGTTCATGCTACTAATCAGTAGGAATGAACTTGGAGCTAGTGCTAAGAAATGGAATAATGGTTATGCTTGTCTAGGTCCTCAGTTGCTAGGACCCACAAACAGGAGGGTAGGGTAGAATTTAGAAGACAGCAAATTTTTCATAAAGAGACTAATTTTTCACTCCCTGCATTAAACATGTTTAGCTTTTTTTAAAAAAAGCATAATAGCTAGTGAACAAATCCACAGTATTTGATAATCTCACGTTCTTAAGTGTACTCTTTGCTAGAGCTCACTGTGGCACTCAGGTATCCTCCTTTGTTGACTCCCTGTGGACTAACTCTAAGCCGTGTCATCTAAAGTATCTCGACCGATTTCATCCTGCTCTCAACCATTTATGTTTATCATAAGTCTTCAATTTATGATGTACATTTTTGTTTCCTTTTCTTAAAAAAATGAACACATTTGCCAAGAATTCCTTGAACAAATGCATTTGCATACTGACTGCATTTTAAACAAAAATATGTTTCTTTTATAAGGCATTGTGTTCTCAAGCTATAAATACTACATATAAATAAAAATGTTAAATTACACGGTTAGGAAATTTGGATGTTTTTAATGTCACATAATTCTTGGCAGTTTAAAAGTAAAATAATAATAATAATAATAATAATAATAATAATAATAAAAACCTGTGATCCTAGGCAATACGAAGACATTTTAATATCAAGTCTGGCACAGTGGCTCACGTCTGTAATCCCAGCACTTTGGAAGGCTGAAGCAGGCAGATCACCAGGTCAGGAGTTTTTAATGTCACATAATTCTTGGCAGTTTAATAAAATAATAATAATAATAATAATAATAATAATAATAATAATAAAAACCTGTGATCCTAGGCAATACGAAGACATTTTAATATCAAGTCTGGCACAGTGGCTCACGTCTGTAATCCCAGCACTTTGGAAGGCTGAAGCAGGCAGATCACCAGGTCAGGAGTTCGAGACAAGCCTGACCAACATGGTGAACCCCGTCTCTACTAAAAATATAAAAATTAGCTGGGCATGGTGGCACGTGCCTGTAATCCTAGCTACTCAGGAGGCTGAGGCAGGAGAATTGCTTGAACCCGGGAAGCAGAGGTTGCAGTGAGCTGAGATTGCGCCACTGCACTCCAGCCTGGGCGATAGAGTTAGACTCCATCTCAAAGAAAAAAAACATCAAATATACTGTATAAACACTTTTGTCTTATTGATGGAAGGTTAAAAGGTCATCTTAGAGTATAAATTGCTTATATCTAGTTAACTAAAGAAAAGAATATCCAGGCCAGGCGTGGTGGCTCACACCTATAATCCCAGCACTTTGGGAGGTGGAGGCAGGTGGATCATGAGGTCAGGAGTTCAAGACCAGCCTGGTCAACATGGTGAAATCCCATCTCTACTAAAAATACAAGAATTAGCTGGGCATGGTGGCACACGCCTGTAGTCCCAGCTACTCAGGAGGCTGAGACAGGAGAAGAATTGCTTGAACCCGGGAGGCGGAGGTTGCGGTGAGCCAAGATCGCACCACTGCACTCCAGTCTGGGCAACAGAGCGAGACTCCGTCTCAAAAAAAAAAAAAAAAAAAAAAAAAGAAAACAATATCCAAATATTAACAATACTTGAAAATTTTGAAGGTATAGGTTAAATACTTGTCTTTAAACTAAAAATTCAGATGAATAATAAATATGGATTTTTATGAGATAAACTTTTTTGTCAGAGAACAGAGTAAGAACGTGGGACTCTTTATGTTAAGTTAAAACAACATTTAGACAACATGGTTAGGTAACAAAAAGAAGGCAAATATAGTCCGAAGTATGTGAAAACAAAGGTACTGAGGATGATATAATTTCATTCTCTGGCCAGTAAAACATTTTAGGGTTTCTGAGGGTGAGCTAAAGTGTGAAGGACATGACTGTTCCATCTTTATCCAGACATACCGTATTTTGATTATTATTTCTATGTTCTAGTTTTCCTTTCCTTTCAAGTTTTCAGAGCAGGGTTCCTATATGTTATTAGGTAGAAATAAACTTATTTATTTAAATGTTTCCAGCCTTTCCTAACATTTGTTTCAACAACGATATCTCCATTCACTGACATTTTTTAAACAAGGGCGTTATTAGTGGAAAAATAACTTAGTGGGAGAAGACATTACTGAGTACTGGTAACTTACCTTCTACTGAATTTTATTTAGAATTATCCACTACATTTTTCCTTTCTCAAACTGTTTATTTGGGACATAACTCCTAGGTCTTTAAAAAGTACTGAAATGCTATAGTTCAAAGAGGAAATATACTTGCTGAATTATAATAGGCAAAATGAAAGCACTCTGTACAAGATGAAAAATAACCTCTTTACCTTACGATTTGACAAAAAGCAGGTTAGGCTAAACAGCATTTTATTCAAATGAGATAACATTTCACTCTTTTAAAATTATGTTCTTCCAGCACACCATTAATAAGCAGAGTGCAGAGAACAATCCAACTAAACAATTTTCAGAGCGCCTTTGTGCTAATATCTTCAGCTGTGATCAATATAACCATATGCATTATGCTGAATTATGCATTTCAGCTAAAGATAGAAAGGAACTTTCAAAAGCAAGCCCTTAAACACATGCAGTTAATTTAAGCATTAACCAAATGCAAACTGCATTTACATATCCTTCCCCCACAGATTCACACAATCTGAAACTAATTTGTACCTTGAATAAAGAGGTGAGTATTCTCTAAAAATAATTTACCAGTTAGATGAATGACTACAAGAAGCCAGGGAAACATCTTCTGGCAAAGAACACTTGATACATGAGAAGGTAAATGTATGAAGACACTTCAAAGTAAAATTAAACAATTTCAAAATCTGTAATACAAAATGGAACTTTCTAAATATTAAAAGATTTTCTTAAATAGACGGTTACAGTTTTTTTGTGTATTATTTCCCTGGAAGAAATGGTTAAAGGCTGTAATATTTTTCTTATAACCCATTGTAAGATTTCCACAAAGAAATGAAAACTTAAATTCTTAGACTTGTAAATTTGAGGTATTCAAACAAAAATAACTGGAAAATAATAGTTGCATTAAAAGTAAAGATTCCGTTCTAGCAATTTTTCTTTAGGAAATAATTGCATAAATGTGTAAAAATTTGTGTGGAATTGTTTATAATACTTAAAAAAACTGAAGCTATTTAAATATTCAATAGAAGATTGTTAAATAATCCATGTTACAATCACACACTGGAAAACTGTAACAGCCATTATAAATGATTCTGATGTAGATTTATATTAAGGAATGATTTTACAATATAGCAAAAAAAGCATATTATAAAACTATATCATTTAGAAATAACTCTGAAAGGGCATAAATCAAGTATTAGCAGTGATTATTTTGCTAATATTTTGTGGGTTGTGGGATTGATTTTTATAATTTACATACTGGACTTTTTTCACAATGTACATGAGTTATGTTTATTATTAAAAAAATTCCCAAACAATAAAAGAGCCAGTAAAAAAGATGAGGAATAAATTAGATAAATTAAAATAACTTAAGAACTGTAATACAAAGTAAGAACCCTCAGAATTAATTCAACGACAATAAACAGGTCTAACAAAAAAATTATGATTCTACCCCCCTTAAGAAAAGCTTCTTTGCAAAGATCAGTTCAGATATCCAAAAAATAGCAGCTTTAGAATTCTTGATATCTAAGTAAATACAGAAAGCATAGAAATAAAAAAAGTTTACTTCATTTCCTTTCCTTTTAAGAATGAGCAATTTATCTGCTCTTGGAAAAGAGAGAGGGAATATAGAGCACTTCCACTTTTTTTACTTAAACAATAATTTATTGAGCAATTACTAAGGCAAAGCACTCTGTTAGGTATTCGATACTGCACATTAAAGTCAGGAACTGTATGTATTTTTGACATGAAAACTTAAAAAAAAATCCACCAGGTCAGAAAACCTGTCATCACCATTTTATTCCACTCACAGTCTTCTAGAGAAAAAGTCATAAAAAAATCTATCATCAAACGTAGTCACTTGGTGAATAAACATTGCACTAGTGTGTTTCATTGAAATTAAGACTCCATTGATTATGTGTTCCAATTTCAGACTTGTTAAAGTGTAAAAATAATGTCACACTGAAATTTAAAAATGCTACCACTTATAAAATGCAACTCAATATTAGAGATGTTAAAATATGAAAAGATAATGTTCCTTACAGTCAGTGAAATATGGCATTGTGGTCTAAATAAAAACATAAGAATACTAACTAGAAACATAACTGTTTTTTAGTGAGTCTGTATTAAACTTTTAAACATTCTCATGCAACTGAATTGCAAGTGTTCAAAAGGAGCATATGACTTGGTTTATCTAGGGCATGAGCAAACAGATAATGACACTTAAAGCAAATAATTCATTTCCCCTGTTGTGCATTTGTGTGTATATCTATGTGTGTGTAACACAGTAAAATTCAGACTTCTTTAATTATAATTCTTTTACTTCTATGAGATCTGTGACTTATACTGAAACTTATTAGTGATTATTATTTTAGCAGGGGGCACAAAGCTTCCTGGTATTTAAGTTCACTGTCACAGAGCAGAATTAGACATTTCATCAGAGATTTTCCCTATTCGAACTCTCAGAACGGCAAGCTACTATTTCTGCCAATCTCTGTCATCTTACACTAGTGTTTTTATGCCATTACACTTGCCACCACCTCACATATTACATATTTATTTAATTGTTTTAGTTTCTTCCTATTAAATTTATATTTCGTGAGGGAAAGACCTTTGTTTCTATTCATTGCTGTATCCCCAGAAATTAGAACAGTGTCTAGCACTAACTGGTGCTCAATAAATACTTGTTGACTGTTGAGTAAAGAAAGGCTTAGAATTTAGGAAAATTGAACAATTAAAAACAACCTAAATAAGAACAGCTATGAGAAAAAGCAATTCTTTTGGCATATACACCAGGCCGAGTATGAGAAATTTTGAGCAACCACTGAATTCATGAGAGTGGATGACTGTGTTTGCCCCTCACACATCGCAGGGTGAGTGGCAAACAGTAGGCACCAGAGTAAGTACTGACTGATTCAATGAAGAAACATTAGATGTCTGAAATGAGAAAGGCAGTGGTTATTTTAAATGTACCTCTTTCAGTTTTTAATCTGTCAAGGATTTCAGTTTTGTCTGTTAAGTCAGACTTCAAGGCAGTCTCGAGCTGAGCAATCTGTACTTTCAGCTGCTGCTCCTTTAACTTCCATTGCTCTTCATGGGCAGCACTGAAGGCACTGCAAAACACACGTGACATGCAACGAAAGCTTGGAAATCAGCTTCAACCGAAAATAATAAAGAGAAAAGCTTTTAGTGGCACAGAGACCACTGTCATCATGTCTTAGGAATTAAGTAAACATATGCTGGTCTGCTGCTGTTGAAACCAAGGCGCCTTTCTCAGGCTGCGGTTAGGGAACATGAAAGAGTTTGTGGGATGAGCAAAGGAACTGGCCTTAATTTAGAGCTCTAAAGTCAGAAAAGCTGGCAGTGTGCAGCTTTTGTGGGACTAGTAAAGGAATTTAGATACTGTACATACTCCAGAGGAATCCACAATTCCAAACCTCAGCAACTGACATCGTACAAAACCATTCTCTCCCACATACAAACCTCTTAATACAGAGAAAACGGACTTTCCACCTGATCTTTAATTCTGTGAAACTTTTAAAGAGTCTGTGATAATAACATGTTCACAAAATAATGGCCACAGAATGATAGCATATTGAAACGAAGTAGTGATAATACAGTTTTTGATAAAAAACAAAAAACAATAGGCTAAAAACAGTTTTAGTTGTAACACATGATTGGAAAGAAAACCAGTGCTCTGTGCCTGATAAGAATGATGAAAATAGAATTACTATTCCCCAATAAAAGTACAGCAGTTTAAAACATGGTTAAAATTTGCTAATGATCAAGACCCAGTATATTAGAAGAAAGAACCGGTTGAAAAATAACTAAGCGATGCACAGAAAGGATACCACAAACATTTGTTTATACCAGTGATTCCTAAACACTGACCGAAGTACTGGTAGTAGGCCAGCTGCAGTAAGGACACTTAGAGAGATTTTAAAATGAAGATTCCAGGGCCCAGGTATTCATATTTTTATAAAGCTCCCCAGATGATAGCCAGGTTTTGGAAAAACTGGTCTTGATCTGAATTTCAGCAGAAAACCATTATCTGTGAAGCTTGATATGACTGAATAATCATGAGCAGCTTTGACCATTCTAGTTATTTTAAGCCCAGTAAATACAACAAAAACTTACAAAATCTGGTTTTATACTGATGATGAAGTAAATGGAAAAGAAACATATTACTGGAAATTGCCCTTAATGTTGCTCCCATTTTTTATTCCAACTGAAACTGTTGCTTCAGTTTTTATTCCAAAAAAGATACTTTTCTGGGAGGCACAGCTTTTCAAAAGAGCAAAATTGTGTATTCATTTCACATTTTGAATATTTTACTGCCTTTGAGATAACATGACCTTGAAAATAAATGGAATTCTGGAAGCTTCCCTAAATATGACATCTGTTTCTTCTATTAGGGTTCTCATTTCACTTATGGAACCTTAAAAAAATATAGAATCTATATACCAATTATTTAAGTTGATTTTATCAAAGGTACAATGACCTAGACTTAAATGAAATCCAAATAAAATATGCATTTTAAATACTAAATAATTTTCCTTTTTATGTTTGTTTTTAAAATAAAGAACAAATATAATTTCTATGTATGGCCAAATTGTATATATCAAACACATCCATATATATGCATGAATGTGAGTACATCTATGTGTGTGTATATATATGTGTGTGTCTGTGTGTGTGTGTGTGTATATGCATGTGTCTTATTTTATTAAAAACATGTACCACCCGGAAAAAAAATTAGCATGATGAAATAGGCACAACTATACATTATATCAGATGCCAAAAATTAGAAACAGTAGTGTTCCAATAGCATTAGTACCAGCGAAAAGATCACCAACAGCTAATCTGGCAGAAACATCAGAAGCTGTATGTGTTTAAATTAAGAACAATTTAGCAGCCTGGGTTTTCCAAACCCACAAAATACTAGTGTAAATCAGCATAAGTCAATCTGAATTTAGTCCACTGCTATCTTCCCTCTAAATTTAGGATTACATTCCACTGGAGTTTCATGAGGAATTCCTTTTGAATTTACTGTATTCCTCTATGCTTAGAGCCATCTGTGTAACTATAAATGGTGAACCACATCTGGCTCCATTTTCTTTGTAAGGGCTGTGTACATGATTAAATCTGCGTATGAGAACAGTCTTTGAGAACTTTTTATTCATGAAAATGTTTTCGTATATTGCCTATAGTGAAAACTGAAGTAGGATCATAGTCTTTGTACACATTTCACTGTTATGTGATGTTGCAGGACTGATCAAATGTCAGCCTGCAGTGGAATGCCCATTGCTGCTTGTGGTCAACGGCATGTCCACCGGCAGATATGGGTCAGCATACTGTAAATACACACCCTTGATCAAAAACATGATAAAGATCTAAATAAAGCCAAAGAGTTCATCTGCTTCCTAAGATCTTTCCTCTTACAGAAGAAATTCCATTTGTTCAATGTTCAAGGGCATCCTAATGTGAGAGATAGGAAAGAACAAACTCTAAATCATCCATAAAGAAATCCATAGTGGCCAGGTACGGTGGCTCATGCCTGTAACCCCAATGCTTTGGGAGGCTAAGGCAGGAGGATGGCTTGAGCCCAGGAGTTCAAGACCAGCCTAGGAAATATAGAGAGATCCCACCTCTATAAAAAATAAAATTAAAGGCCGAGTGTGGTGGCTCATGCCTGTAATCCCAGCAGTTTGGAAGGCCTAGGTGGATGGATCACTTGAGGTCAGGAGTTCGAGACCAGCCTGGCTAACATGGTGAAACCCCATCTCTACTAAAAATACAAAAATTAGGCAGGTGTGGTGGCATACACCTGTAATTCCAGCTACTCAGGAGGCTGAGGCAGGAGAATCGCTTGAACCCGGGAGGCAGGGGTTGCAGTGAGCCAAGACCATGCCACTACACTCCAGCCTGGGTGACAGGGCGAGATTCTGTCTCAAAAAAAGAATTAAAAAATAATAATAAAATTAAAAATTAGACAGGTGTGGTGGCACATGCCTGTAGTCCTAGCTACTTGGGAGGCTGAGGTGGGAGGATTGCTTGAGTCCAGGAGGCTGAGACTGCAGTGAGCTATGATTGCGCCACTGCCCTCCAGCCTGGACAACAGAGCAAGATCCTGTCTCTCTCTGTCTTTTTTTTTTTTTAAGTCACAGGTACTTTATTTAGGGCCCAATGAAAATTAAATTCATATTCACATCAGGATATTTCACTTACTGAAAGAAGATGATGCCCCAAATATACTTGGGAGTTTGATTTCTGGGAAGCATAAGCTGCTCACATTTGATCACATGAGATTTTATGGTTTCTAGAAGGTTACAGGGCACAGATGCTCACTTTATGGAAACAGAACACAGAGAATCTATGGGTGTCAGCAGTGCTCTTTTACATTTTGAGAAGTAGATGACTATCACATCATAAAAACTTGATCCACCCAATTCTTAAAAAGGTTAATATCATCTTAAAAACTAGATGAATACCTTTTTAAAATAGACATATTAGGGTCTCTCAAGAAGTTAATACCTCAAAATCACATTCAACAGATTTTTTTAGATCCAGTCTCAAATTAACTGAATCAGAGCTGGATGGTATCAGGGCAGAGGGAAGGGTGCAGATGGATAGACAAAGAAGCTCTGAAGAGGTGGTGAAACCTACATTTTAATAAATTTTCCAGGTTATTCGCATACATTATAGTTTAGGAACCATTGCATTCATCAGTTACATGGCCCCAACACTAACTAACTTCAAAAGTGAAGCACAGCATTACCAAATTATAGCATAATTATATAATACTGTATTACATACCACAGTATAGAGCTTCTCTCTGACCCGAGAGAAAGATGTAATTGCCAAAAATGTATTCTGAACTTTTAAATTGAACATTTCTTAAAGTTATACTTATTTCTTGGCAGTGTATCAAAAGTGTTTTGGCATATTAAAAAAGGCTCATACTAAAAAGTAACATGAGGGTTTTATCTTCCCAGATGATTTTCTAATATGTCATATGTCAAGTAATAAACACATTCAAAATTTCATTTGAAAAAGGAAGATGAGAATGCAATCTGCAAATCATATTTTTCTCCTGAAAACTAGTCAATTTTGAATAACAAACAAATGCTGTCCTTTTAAAAACATGTTATCGTTATGACTAAGCAAACAGGGAGTATGTGTAGTTTTTGATGAACATTAGTTGTTGGCAATAATGAATAACAGTGTCATGAAACAAAAGAGCTGTAAAAAATCTCAGAGACAATGTCGACTTTTGTTGAATTTCCCCAACTATATTTCTAAAACGTATCATATATTTCAAAAACACTATATTAGAGAATTCTGTAGTTCTGTCGACTATTATGTGTGTTTGCTGGGTTTTGTGCTTATGCGACATTAATTCTTCTTTTGACATTAAATGTTTTGACACTCATTACACACATTTACTTGCATATATCTCACATAAACTTCACGTGTGAGCAGCATAATGAAGTCTGCTTTTAGTGTGACAGGAAAAAAATGTTAGCGCAAGCATAAAACATTGAAAAAAAAACGCTTCAAATTTATACTCTTAGATCATCTTCTAATATGGAAAGATAAAGTTTTATGGTGGGAAAGTAAATATGAGAAAAACATGACTTTCTCAAAGTTTCATCTATACATTATTCCCAGCTAAGTTCGATTTTTTTTATTCCAAGTAAGTATGTTCAGTAAATTTTCAAACTGGGGAGAAGTAGAAAATTTGGAAGTAATGGCCATATGGCACTATTTTCTTCTATTTGGACTATGTAAAATTATTTGAAATTACAAGATACTGAAGATACACGTAAATCAGTAAGAATTTCTGGATTTATAACAGTTCTGTTATTCCATGAATGTTTCCCTTCCGCATATACAATTTGCCAATGCAATTAAAATCAGAGAGATAGTAAAGCATAACAAAAAAGAATTCAAGTTTTAGAGTAAAAAAAAATCTGGGTTTTCGTTCTAAACTACAGTCTCAGCAATGCTGTGTGACTCTGCACGTCTTAATTTTTCTGGAATCCCAATTTCCTCATTTATAAAAGAGAGATGATATCTTCTCTAATAGGGTGCTGTACAATTTGTATACTGACATTTAAACTTTTCAAACACACGTATGATTTTAACTGGTGTCTGAACCTACTGTTGGTAACCCTTAATATAGTGAGTCACTGTACAAAGATAGTCCCCACAAGTAGGTAAATAACATAGATGATACAAACTACTGAAATAATGCCTACGTTAATTTACGTAACTTTCCCGAAGTAAATCAAAATAAAAACCTATCCCCACACTCCTTGGGTATAATTTGTTTAATTTATAAAATGTAAATTTAATTTATTAAAAATAAGACAAAGAGCTAAAAAGTTAAAGATGCACAGATGCACTTGTAGCTCAAATGGTTATTTTCTGAGGTTTCAGCACATGACCAGTAGAAGTAGCTGTTGAATATCAGCTATAACATATGTATTTAAGTATATATTACATTTGCTTTCATGTAAACCTGTATTTATCATTTATCAGTATCATATACTAAAAACACTTAAAATTACATACACACACACACACACACACACACACACAGAGAGAGAGAGAGAGAGAGAGAGAGACAGAGATCTGTATCACTTAACCAAACTTAGATGTGGAGTATGATTTTGTTTCTAATATTACCAGAAAGGACTAATTTCTAAAATACCATAATTATGAAGTAGATTAAGAAACAAAATTGAAGCAGCCCTTTAAAATGTACCTTGAGATAAAGATGCTTGTGTTTCTCTTTATAAGGAACAGAGACAACTGTAAGTGAACACCTTTGTTTTTCCCTAACAGAATAACTCTCAGTTAATAAGCTGGGGAGTCTAGGAAAGAGACCAAAAGAGGTTCAAATACAAGCTCTATTACTTTATACATTTAAAAGGTATGGGCTGGGCACAGCGGCTCACCCCTGTAATCTCAGCACTTTGGGAGGCTGAGGCAGGAGGATCACTTGAGCCCAGGAGTTCAAGATCACCCTGAGCAACATAGAAAGAATTTGTCACTAGCAAAAAATTTAAAAAATTAGTCTGACATGGGGGCATGTGCCTGTGGTCCCAGTTACTCAGGCAGCTGAGGTGGGAGGATTGTTTGAGCCCTGGAAGTTGAGGCTGCAGTGAGCCATGATTGTGCCACTGCACTCCAGCTTGCATGACTGAGACACTGTCTTGAAAAAAAGAGGTAGGAAGTGCCTCTTAATGTTACTTAAATTGCTTTATCTTCCTTGTTTGCAAAATGGGAATTTATAATACACACATTTCAAGGTGCTGTGAACAATTTATAACAATAAATGTAGAGTATCTAGCATGCTGTCTGTTAGTTTATAGTTAGTGTTCAATAAGTGATGGCAGTTTACTGGCAACAAAGTGATATGGTTTTCTTAGTAGTAATAGGCTACTGCTCAGGTTAAACAACTTATTACCAATGTCTTTAAAAAGCTTGTATTTCCTTTATAAAGTTTGTATATTTCTTGCTATCATTTGTTGCTAATTCTTTGATCAACATGATCTAGTCTGACAACAGCAAATGCTTTCATATAAAAGAGCTCAAACAAGACAATGAAAGAACACATGGAATCATGATTTACCTGTCATAAAGTTTATCATAGTTTTCCTTTAAAAGTTCCCGTTCCTTTTCTAAATCATTAATTCTATCCTGCAGCTAAAATGAAAATAAAATTACATGTTAAGTAAATATTACATAAAACTACTTGGGGGTTAAAAAAAAACATAAAAAACTCTATATGAGAAGAGGTTAACATGTTTTAATCTCGATTGCTAAATGGTAGCTGCTAACCAGACCACTTATATTGTCTGCATTTAATTCAGCACTGATTCTAAGTTGTTAAATAAACATGAAATTAACATTCCTGTTTTAATTTAGTAGAAACGTACACAGTGCTTTATGCAACATGTGCCAGAAGTCAGTAAAGAATATGTTAAGAGCTTGCTAAGTCCCGGGAAACATAATATTTTTTACTTTTCACCATGATAACTTCTGTCATTATATTCATTTTGTATTAATTTACAATTGGCCCATAAAAAATTAAAAGGATTAAATTCTTTTTAGGTTCATGGTTCAACTGTGTTGTTAATCACAATTTACTCTGAAGATACAATTTCTCACATTATCTGATATTTATAAATAGCCACTAACACATTTTGTGAATAAATGAATAAACAAAGTTATATACTATTTTAGCCCATGAATAGTATTTTCAGAAATAAATGGAGTAATAATTACATCTCTATGACTAAAACGTAGATTTCCGTACTCTAGCATTTATTTTTAAGTTTTATTCATAAGTATATTTTGCAGTCACAACTTTTCCCTGTGGATCAGAGTACTCTTAAACTTTACTTCCATTTTCAAAATTCTCTTTTGATGCTAGTATGAGACAGTAAAGGATTCTCCCAAGATCAGAATAGAATGCAGGCATCTTATTTCTCTTCCATTCTCCCTGGGAACAAACTTAACAGGCTACAGAAAATACTACGATAATAGGAAGACGAGTTTTCAAACAACTCCCTAAAAAAAATTAGATAATTTCATAAAATTACTGATAATGCAGAATACAACAGCCATCTCCTCGGAAACAGATATAGTACTGTTATTTTGTCTTAGCATCTCAAACGATTAATAAGCTGTTATGGTTGAGAAAATTAAGTTCCATAGGTAATCTGGTATCAGTTTCAAAATGCTGGTTTCATTTTACCCAAGGATCTTTAATCCTTTGGGTAAACAGTGGATCTTGCCACATTTGCAATACAGTTAAACACTGATTTGCCATTCATATACTAACTACTATATTTTACTGTGCTCAAAACACCATGTATATAGCTCATAATTTTAAATAAGTAAAATTTTGAAATGTCTCTATTTTAGTTTTTCAAAACAGTTACCAAGAAGTTGTAATGCAACAGATGGCTAAACTCTTTGGGAGCTTACCTCTTCTATTCTTCTTTCAGAAAACTTCATAGAATGTAACTGTTTCTCAAGACTGCAGCATTTTAAACGCTGCTCTTTAAGTTGCATGTTTAGCTCATCCCCATTCGCCATCAAAGCATCGTGGCTGATTCTGAGAGTTCTTTGCTTCTAAAAGATAAAAAGAACATCTTTTAAACATTATTTTTGGTTATGACTAATCATTTGACTAAATGATTATAATTCTATAAGTGAATTTACTCCTGAAGTTCACCTTATACAGATTATTTTTTTTACATAACAAATGATGTGTATGGTGCTACTTATCCGTAGGAGACACTCTGAACATGTGTGTGACATGAGGAAGAAAGTACAAGGTTATGTTAGCATAGAGTCACATACTTTATTTTCCTCTAGTTTTTGACTTATTGATGGTGACCAGCAAGTAAATTCATTTTAACAATAACTTTTTTCTTCTTTTTGCTGTGGTTACATTGGTTGGACGTGCTGTCTAAAAATGCTGTAGCATGGGTCAAAAATGCTGACCACAGATTTGAAATGAAAGGATTCGCCGCCACATCGTATAAATAGCCTTGGATGGTTAGCTTTTAATTTGCATACAATTAAGTTAAAATTTCCAATTTAGTAAAATTATGAACTTTTCTTACTTTTTAAAAAACGGTCTATTTATGACCATGCTGTAAATTCAATTTTATATACTTTAATGTCACATAAGTTTTTTTAAATAAAAAAGGTAATCACATTAAAGTCTTTTCATAGAGACCATATAACCATAACATGCATTGCCTCACCTGCTAACTAAAATCTCTCAAGTCCTACTGAAGTTTTTCTTCACTCATTTAAATGAAACATGGCTATTGAGCCATTCAGGTCAATTTCCGTTAATCTTGGTATTATTATAGAACAGTATCTTCAGCCATTTTCTTCTAGGCTCCACACTTCACTGAGGCTGTTGGGTTTAACCTCTCAATTTTTTACCCTATGTCAGCTTCCAAAAGAGCTGCCTGTACCACAGCAGACACCTATTATTGTTGGTATTTAAACTAATACCTGGGTTCACTGTTAAATAGAAATCAAAACTGTCAAAGTGATAAGAGGATGTAAAATCATTTTTCAATTCCTTTCTTAATTCTTAATCTTGGAAATGGCTTTTAACCATAGGGATTTTTAAAATTTCCTTCTTCTAACATCTGTAAATAGCACTATCATTCTCACTCTCTAATCAGTCTCCTCTTTTACAAACTCTCACATTTATGCAGAAGTAATTACCACTTGGCATTTAAAGAGGTTCCTGCAGGATGGAAAACAAAATCCCCAGAGCATGGCTGAAAAAGACTTAACTATTGAATTCAACAGTGAATTTAGGCTTCAGATGACCCTTTGCTTTGCATCAATCTACTGCTCTCCTTGTCTCGGGACTTCAAAGAAAGTATTACTTCACATAAATTCTGTTCAACTGGAATGTCTTGGAGTTCATTAATTCCAGAACCTATGTTAATTATGCAGTGCCAACAAACAGAAGCCCTCAAATGGCATATTCCTGTGGGGTCATAGTCCTTATTGAAACAACCATGGGCATAAAGAACCCCAAGTATTGTCAACCTGAAAGGTTAAGGTTTAAAATAAATACACTGATAGTTGACATTAAGAGTAATCAAATATTTTGAGGTAATGGTAGTGACCAAAAAAGAAAAAAAATCCAAATCAAAAAAAGTTTTAACAGAACATGATTACTGACCTATTCATCACTTTGGTCTATTGCCAATAATTTTATAAATGCTTAAAATTGAAGATATATGCAAATATAGCAAAACTTCAGTGCTATGTGTCCATAATAAATTCAGATAAAAGGAGTTAAAAATAAATTTCCTTGGTAGATGATTTATAATAAATATGTTTATTATTTAAGATGACACAGATATTTATAAAAAGTCCAAGCAGTTAATTATTTCTTTAGTACTTGAGTTATAAATAATAAACAATATATTAAGGGAAAGGATACACATTTGTGAATACAAAGAACAATCTTTAAAAATTACATTTTAGTGTTATGATCATTCGATGTTTAAAAAAACAACTTGAAAACTACTTTTGAATCCTTTGCATCTCTGTAACAACGTAATGAAATAAATTATCACTGTACCTCTTGAAGCTGAATAAATTTTCCTTCCATTGCCGAAAGAGCATTGCTTTTCTCCACTAGCTGTTTATGAAGCTTAATCATTTCTACATTGTCCCGAATATTTGACCTTCAGAGTTGTATTTAAGAAAAAGAGAGACAGAAGTAAAAAATGCATGTTAGAAGAAAGAAAAGCTATGGCGGAATCGCAATTTTTCAATTAATGCTACACAGAAAATATTTATATACTTGTACATCAGTCAATGAAGTTTTTGGATTATTATAAATGCAGGACAGATTAATTATTTAAAACAAACCAATAATCATTCCTGAACTTTAATAACCTCGAACTCACAAAGTTTGAAGGGAGCCCCCCAAACTTCATGACTATGTTACCTCTACAATTGATAATATGGATTTAAAATCATTTTATAGGATCCTGAAAGATGGCACAAAAACACGATAGTTTTTAGTACATCAATGATACCATTACCAAACTTCACACTTATTTTAAGGAGGACTATCATGCTACTTTTCCCTAAATGAAAAATATGCAATACAGCCATTCATCTTTCTACAACTCTCTCGATACAAATGGCATCATAAGATTACCATTTATTGGAGTTTCCTCTTGGAGTTTTAAACTTTTTAAAATATTTGCAAAAAAAGTGACCTAGCATTTTACACTAATAATACCCAAAGCTGGCATTTAAATATGTTGCAGATGTGCCTTTAGCTGTAAGAGATCATTTGATGTCCACAGGGTATACAGAAACCTTATATGTTACAATACTATTTTGTATTTTTCCTACTGAGATTAAAGCAAATGTAGAATTTAACAGGAAGATCTAGTTAAAGGTTAATCATAGATCTAAATGAGTACCTGTTTTCAAAAGGCATTTATTTTCTTGATGGAGAAAAGTTCCATAATTTAATACATTTTTATATTTAAAAATATTTTGTTAATTTTGAAGTTTCATTTCAGAGTTCACTTTTAGGAAAAATAAATGTAAAAAATTTAAAATCAGAGTTCAATATTTAAAGAGACTTTACTTTTAAAACTTATCTAGTTTACACATATTGGAAAAATTGTCATAATGCCCTACTGGAACCAGAAAATGGACTACAAAGCTCACACATCTGTAAACCAGCTGAGGACTTGAAATACTTAATTTTCCTCTTTGATATTTGAAAGTTCATTGTATTTTGGCATCGGACAGTTAGTTGTCCTCACACAGAAGATAAACAAGTTCATGGATCCGAATCTTGCCCAGGGTACAGTCTTAACATAATGTTAAAATAATTATACATCTAAAACATGTAATCTAGTAGTTCTGAGCACATATTCAACAATATACTCACTATTATTCACTATTACCTTTAGTCACTAAAAATACAATATATATAATACAAAGAGAAAAATATATCTTAAAGTCTAAAGAAAATATTATTGTTTTCATATTTAGAAGCCAAAATATAATTTACTTATTTGCCCCAGCATTACTTTGTTTGACCACTCAGCAGTGAATGACATTTATTGATATGTAAGGACAGAATGTGATTCAAATAATTTAAAATCTTTTCATATACTTCCAGTTGTCTCTGATATTTTATTTTTGTTTTAAAGTATGATAAAATTTTTTTTTTTTTTGAGATGGAGTCTCGCTCTGCTGCCCAGGATGGAGTGTAGGGGCGCGATCTCAGCTCACAGCAACCTCCGCCTCCTTGTTTCAAGAGATTCTCCTGCCTCAGCCTCCTGAGTAGCAGGGACTACAGGCGTGTGCCACCATATCCAGCTGATTTTTTGCATTTTTAGTAGAGACAGGGTTTCACTATATTAGCCAGGATGGTTTCGATCTCCTGACCTCATAATCCACCTGCCTCGGCCTCCCAAAGTGCTGGGATTACAGGTGTGAGCCACTGTGCCCCGCTGCAGTATGTTGATATTTTTAAGATTCAGATATATTTGAATAATAACCATTAATTAAAGTAACACAGAATTAAATCTCTATAATCCATTCAAGCACATAGGGTGACAGAAATAACAGTTTTAATTTTAAATTTTTTTCGTAAGGCAAAAACCAGTAAGCATATATCAAAAACTTTCAGTGGTTTAATTGGTGGGTGCTTTCCTGAATATTTTCCTAAACTCCTTGGAGTTTAAACTTTTCAAAATACTGCCAAAAAGAGCGACAGGTCATTTTAAACTGGTAATGCCCAACAGGTGGGCATATATACAACTTACGTAGTATTTAGAAAATAGCAGTAATGTACTTTAAACAATACCTTAAGTAACAATGTGGTATAATAATGTACTTTAAATAAAAAGTCAGTTTGCTGCAGAGTACATCTTTCCAGGGACAATGCTAAACTTGTAAGTCTTTAATAATTACTTTTATGTATCAGTTTTAGGGGCTTTATTATTATGACTTTATATTTTTTTCATGTAACAATGAGAAGAGGATAATCTGTTAAACTAAAAGTGCTAGGTCAGTGATAACATGAAAGTTCAAATCAGCAATGTGATAAATGTGGTCTAGCCTTTAAGAAGATGTGCAATAAAAATTACCTCAAACCCGACAATCAAATCAACATTTTTATATAGATGAAATATGGTACAAGAATAATGGGGGGAAGTAAGAGAGAAACAGGGAGGGAGATGACACAAAAAGATGACCAGAAATGTGAGAAGGATGCTGTAGGCAAGATGGAGCTAGGGTGCATAGCTAAGTGACCAGTCCTAGACCTCTGTGTTTGTGGAGGAAGGCCTCAGGTTGGTCTTTGAAGAACAGACTTAGGGCTAATTTTATGAGTAATATTTTAAGTGACCTCCACACAAGACTTTTTTGCCCTCTTCTACACACTACAACAGGAACACCAAATCTTCAGGATGAAGACATTCTGACAGAAAGAATAATGCATGGTAAAAACATTCAGACATTCAGATGAACTCTGACAGTCATGTACCAAATCATACATGCTGCATTACACATGGTGAAATGATCTGCAAACAGATATCAAGCATACTAATTAAGTGCTTTGTAAAAATAAATTTCTCAAAATTTTCATCAAGGATTTTGAAAAAGCCAGGAATGATTAAGTTGGAAAATGCAGTTTCTTTTCTTTTTCCTTTTTTTTTTTTTTAAAAAAAAAAACCATGATTTAGAATTATGATCAAATCTTATAAAACTATGAGAAGAGTTGTTGGCCCATCTCTAGATTAAAAACAAACTGAAATAAATTAGATTTTATGTAAAAAAAAAGTAATCCAGCTCAACAACCTGTGTGCCAAGTTTCTCTCATATAATTTGAAACAGTCAAGCAATAAACTCTGAAAAAGGAATTTCTAATGGAAGCCTTGAAAACACTTGACTCCAGCTTTGCTACTGGGTGCCATAATAAATCCAGAAACCTAAAACCTCAGATACACTGGAGAAGTAAAAACTTTCAGCGGAGCTATGTAATGTATAGTCTGATATGAAAGCTTAAGAAGCAAAAATCTTTGCTCCAGTGAAAGTTTCATATAGTTTATTCCCCAGGCATTCAATTCCCCTCCCCTACCTTTTGCCAACATTTCATTCCTTGCTACCGTATTATGAAAGCTAAAAAACGCTTCTTGAAGTTTTGAGATAAAAATGTCATAGTATTTAACGTCATTTAGAAGAGAAGGCTTTAAAACACAGAAGCTAGGCTATGAGATTCTGGGAAGTAGTTAGGTCAAATATTTATGAGATAGAATGGACAGACTGTTTTTGAGTAATAGTTACAGGCTGCCCAAATTTTGGGCATAAGGTTGAAAACAACCTTAGGGTTAAAAAAAGCGCTCTAGATTTTCTTTTCAAACAGTGGCAGACATTCTGTAGCTGTATTGTTGAAGGAAATGTAGGTCATTCATAGTTTTTATTAGGGATACACAGATAACAATCACCAGCAAGGCTACCCCCTAGGACTAGGGCTACAGAAGGCTGCTAGTAAGCCGAATAGAATAAGCTTCACTGAAATAGCTGAGCAAAGTCTATTTGAAAGATAATGATTTTGCTCAAAATTGCTACTTGACTTCACAGGTGAAAACAGTGCTCTCTGATTTAAGAATGCTCAAAGGAAAACCACTGTCTGTGTATGTTTACTTGCCTCTGAATCATTACTTTCCTGTGGTGTTGGGTCAAACTATAAATCAGAACTTAGTATTTTCTTACTCTTACCACCCACAGGAATGGAGGGGACAGTTTTGTCAGCTCTCTACATGCATAAAATCACACTCAGTGGAAGGGCACTCCCAAAGGCTGGTTGGGGACAGGACGAACTCAAATCCTGGCCCATCTTCTTATACGGACCATTTTTACGATCAAGTTTAATGGATTCCAACTTGAGATTTACAGTAAAAGAAATGGGAATCAGATTTTTTTTTTTTCCTTTTTTTTTTAGACGGAGCCTCACTCTGTCACCGGGGCTGGAGTGCAGTGTCACGGTCTCGGCTCACTGCACCCTCTGCCTCCCGGTTCAAGCGATTCTCCTGCCTCAGCCTCTGGAGTAGCTGGGACTATAGGCATATGTCACCACACCTGGCAGGAATCTGAACCTTACAGTCAATATTTCAAAAAGCCCAATAAGAAACGTAGATTTATTGGCAATGAAGTTGCAAAAGTGAACTAATGGTTTTGTGTTGTTTTCATTTTTTATAGATTTATGCTAATCCAGCGTCATAACACAGATTATTTAACAATTAGCAGAAGGAGTGATTGGCATGATACAGGTCTTTGATGAATAGTTAATTTAGTAGGCCAAATCTTTCTGAATACAAGGTCCCTAGAGAGAAAAATAGCTGTTGTTTAAAGGCAGGAAACCATTTACCCATTTCAATCTAATCATTTTACAGTTCAGGTGGTTAACTGAGGCTCCCAGAAGTAAAGAATTTGGCCAGAGACCTTAAGTGATGAAGACAACACTCAAATCTTGCTCTAAGAGTTAAATTCTTCCCATTCTTCAAAGTTAAATTCTTCCCACGCTTCTAAGTTTTTTCCTTTAAGATCTTCCTAAGTTTTTAACTTTCCCTCCACTATCATGCATACACTCACATACTAGTAACTATTAGCTGTGACAATTTCTGTGGTTTATATAAAGTGGCAGGAG